ATATATATATATATATATACACGTGTGACCTGTCTGTCTACGCTTATCTGTTGCCGTGAACTTAACAAATTTGAGCAAAAGCTCGAAATCAACACCTGATCCAGGTTCCTCTAAAGCCATTGACGTCGTCTATTATCAGTGGTACTTGATAACAGCATCGTTCAATGCATATAAAATGCTATAAAATGTCGGTAATCCAACTCTGAAGAATTAGTCTACATCTAATTCTATTGAGACCAGCTGGCCATACCAGGAAGAGATGGAATTAAATTGGGTTGCATTTACTTTATGCATAAGTCTGATCCTGATCAAAGGCGAATCCTCTTTCGCAACTACAGCTACCAAAAATGAAGTGAGTAAATAAGAATTAATTATATTAGACAAGCGAGTTATTCTAATTCTAAATTATATCAGATCTGCAAAGCATCAAGGAGAGAGGAGGAACAATGCGGATCATATGCCTATAAGGCCATGAAACCACTGCTCATCTACGTAGAATTGATGAGGACAAAAGTGGAAAACCATGATAATATAACATCCATTAAGAATAACGAAATTGAAGGCCTTCAAATGAAGATATCCCAATATGAATCAGATTTAATAAAGAATTTGAGAGAGCAGATTATTGCTGGATTGAGGGAACAGATCATCAAAAAGGACAGCGAATTAAAGCAGCAAAAGTTTGACCAGCAAAATGTATATGAAACTATCATTCAGGAACTGAGAAACTATAAAAATATAACAGTAAGTCAGAACTCTGAAATCAAGGAGTTGCAGAAGAAACTAGTTGATCAAAATGAAAATGTCGCCATCATACAGGGATTGAGAAATCAGATAGATTCATACAAGAATAACAATGACAATTTGCAATCAATCAGGAATGAATTAAACAATTTGCAATCAATCAGGAATGAATTGAATAAGCTCAATTCACTGAAATATGAGGAATGCGCCAGTGATTTAATCTCCAAACAAAAACTTCAAATCGATAGGGATTCAATCAAATTACAGGAGTTTCAGAAACAGTTGGAGGAACAAAAGAAAAATATTGACCAAAAGAACCAGGAAATATCCAAATTAAAAGATCATATTAATAGCGAGGCAGTCAAATCGAAGGAGTTTCAGAAACAGTTGGAGGAACAAAAGAAAATTATTGACCAAAAGAACCAGGAAATATCCAAATTCCAAGGTCAAATTAATAGCGAGGCAGTCAAATCGAAGGAGTTTCAGATACAGTTGGAGGAACAAAAGAAAAATATTGCCCAAAAGAACCAAGAAATATCCAAATTAAAAGATCATATTAATAGCGAGGCAGTCAAATCGAAGGAGTTTCAGAAACAGTTGGAGGAACAAAAGAAAAATATTGACCAAAAGAACCAGGAAATATCAAAATTCCAAGGTCAAATTAATAGCGAGGCAGTCAAATCGAGGGAGTTTCAGAAACAGTTGGAGGAACAAAAGAAAAATATTGACCAAAAGAACCAAGAAATATCCAAATTCCATCAACAGTTGGAGGAACATAAGAAATCCATTGAGGAAAAGAATCAAAAAATATCCAAATTACAAAACGATGTCAACAAAAGCGATGTGAAATTGGAGGACTTAAAGGAGATTAATTGCACATCTTTTGGAGATGCTCCTTGTGTTCATAAAATCAGTTTTTCTCATTACTCCTTTGATGTCTTATGCGACTCGGAGACAGCAGGTCCTGGATGGATAGTTATCCAGCAGCGAATCAATGGTAAAGAAGATTTCAACAGGTCTTGGACAACATATCGCGAAGGCTTTGGTTCCTTTGATGGCAACTTCTTCTTGGGCTTGGATAAGGTCCATCGCTTGACGAGCTACAAACCCCATGAATTCTATATACATCTGGAGAACTTTGAAGGAGAAATAGAATATGCGAGATATAAACAATTTGAAATTGCTGGCGAAAGCGATGAATACAAACTGAGCTTTAGTGAATTCAGTGGCTATATTTATAAATATTCATCTACAGTAGACACAATTGAAACTATTCCCATTTATTTGTCTGTCTATTATGATTCTGTCAAATATGATTTTATGCTACTGCGAAATAAATAAATAAATTTATTTATATATATATATATATATATATATATACGTGTGACCTGTCTGTCTACGCTTATCTGTTGCCGTGAACTTAACAAATTTGGTCAAAAGCTCGAAATCAACACCTGATCCAGGTTCCTCTAAAGCCATTGACGTCGTCTATTATCAGTGGTACTTCAATGCATATAAAATGCTATAAAATGTCGGTAGTCCAACTCTGAAGAATTAGTCTACATCTAATTCTATTGAGACCAGCTGGCCATACCAGGAAGAGATGGAATTAAATTGGGTTGCATTTACTTTATGCATAAGTCTGATCCTGATCAAAGGCGAATCCTCTTTCGCAACTACAGCTACCAAAAATGAAGTGAGTAAATAAGAATTAATTATATTAGACAAGCGAGTTATTCTAATTCTAAATTATATCAGATCTGCAAAGCATCAAGGAGAGAGGAGGAACAATGCGGATCATATGCCTATAAGGCCATGAAACCACTGCTCATCTACGTAGAATTGATGAGGACAAAAGTGGAAAACCATGATAATATAACATCCATTAAGAATAACGAAATTGAAGGCCTTCAAATGAAGATATCCCAATATGAATCAGATTTAATAAAGAATTTGAGAGAGCAGATTATTGCTGGATTGAGGGAACAGATCATCAAAAAGGACAGCGAATTAAAGCAGCAAAAGTTTGACCAGCAAAATGTATATGAAACTATCATTCAGGAACTGAGAAACTATAAAAATATAACAGTAAGTCAGAACTCTGAAATCAAGGAGTTGCAGAAGAAACTAGTTGATCAAAATGAAAATGTCGCCATCATACAGGGATTGAGAAATCAGATAGATTCATACAAGAATAACAATGACAATTTGCAATCAATCAGGAATGAATTAAATAAGCTTAATTCACAGAAATGTGAGGAGTGCACAAGTGAATTAGTCTCCAAACAAAAACTTCAAATCGATAGCGATGCAATCAAATCGAAGGAGTTTCAGAAACAGTTGGAGGAACAAAAGAAAAATATTGACCAAAAGAACCAAGAAATATCCAAATTAAAAGATCAAATTAATACGAGGCAGTCAAATCGAAGGAGTTTCAGAAACATGGAAGAAAAAAAAAAAAATATTGACCAAAAGAACCAAGAAATATCCAAATTAAAAGATCAAATTAATAGCGAGGCAGTCAAATCGAAGGAGTTTCAGAAACAGTTGGAGGAACAAAAGAAAAATATTGACCAAAAGAACCAAGAAATATCCAAATTCCAAGATCAAATTAATAGCGAGGCAGTCAAATCGAAGGAGTTTCAGAAACAGTTGGAGGAAGAAAAGAAAAATATTGACCAAAAGAACCAAGAAATATCCAAATTAAAAGATCAAATTAAGAGCGAGGCAGTCAAATCGAAGGAGTTTCAGAAACAGTTGGAGGAACAAAAGAAAAATATTGACCAAAAGAACCAAGATATATCCAAATTAAAAGGTCAAATTAATACTGAGGAAAAGAATCAACCAATATCCAAATTACAAAACGATGTGAAAAAAAGTGAAATGAAAGTGGAAGACCCAAAGGAGAATCCCTTTATTAGCTGCACTTCTTTTGGAGATGCTTCGGGTGTTAATAAAATCAGTTTCTCTAATTACTCCTTTGATGTCTTATGCGACTCGGAGACAGCAGGTCCTGGATGGATAGTTATCCAGCAGCGAATCAATGGTAAAGAAGATTTCAACAGGTCTTGGACAACATACCGAGAAGGCTTTGGTTCCTTTGATGGCGACTTCTTCTTGGGCTTGGAGAAAATCCATCGCTTGACGAGATTCAAACCCCATGAACTCTATATATATCTGGAATACTTTCATGGCGTAATAGAATATGAGAGATATAAACAATTTGCCATTGTTGGCGAAAGCGATGAATACCAACTAAGCTTAAGTGGATTCAGTGGCAATGCCAGAAATAAGATGTCAAGATTTAAGAATAATCAGAAATTTTCGACATATGATCGTGATAATGATGGCAGGAATGATGTCAATTGTGCATTAAAACATCTTGGTGGATGGTGGTACAATGACTGGTGTGGAGTTATGTAAGCAAATGAATCTCTTCTTCATCTCTATTTAAATATTTAACTGTTTTCTTCTTTCCCTCTACAGGAACTTAAATTCGAAGTACTATAACAGTATAAGCGACTGGCATGGTGATGGTATGTATTGGCGTGCCCCAGTCAAAAATGTTAAAATGATTATTCGCCCAAAATAAATATAAAAATGATGCAAATTTAATATGAATTGTACTTTGGAATTGTAAATGTAATTAAAAGTTAACTCTCAAATAATTAAATTGGCACTGTAATTACATCAAATTTTATGAATTTCTACTCTTTAGTAGGTCAAGTAAACTTGAGTCTCACAGGGATCTGGAAAAATTTGTAAAAATAGCTGAATATATCAGTAGCATCGAAAGGCAGTAGATCCAAGGAGGTGTCAAATAGTAGTGGAATGGTAGTGCAATAGTAGTAGAATATTACTATAATTGTAGTAGAGCAGTAGTAGAATAGTAGTAGAATATTAGTATAATAGTAGTAGAATAGTAATGGAACAGGAGTAGAGTAGTAGTAGAATAGTATTAGTGGAATAGTAGTAGAATAGTAGTAGAATAGCAGTAGAATTGCAGTAGAAAAGTAGTAGAATAGAGACCAAGCCCTGCATATGTGCGAGCAGCTGCAGACTTTGTCTGCTAGGTGTCAAAGGATTATGAATGTATGTGAAGATAGCAGCAACACTCTGTCCTTGTCTGTCGTGTGCAAGCATGCAGTTAAGTAAATGCGATTATTGTCAGATCTAACGGAAGGCAAATATATTTATGCCTTGCCTGTCGAAAGCATCAATATATCGCTCAGCCGGCTAGCTATCGGCTCAGGGGTAGTTCGACCGCGATATATTGGGCGGCAAGTTAACAAAATATTTGAATTCTTTTATAAATAAAAAAAAAAAAAATATTTCCATCAAACCAGTCCACTCGCTGCTGTGTTGGCTGTGTGGGTGTTGTGCAGCCTGCGTGTCCCTCCCTTCCTAGTGATTCCTCCTCTAAATTTCCTGGAGAAATTCCCTTTCACAATTATTCCTTTTTCGCTTGTTTCTTATGCCCTCATCTCACCCGATCACATTAATTTACCACCTCATATTCATTTTTTTCAGACTATTTAATTTACAACTCATGTGATCCATGTGACATCGTGATCCCTAACATTTTGTTGGCCAACACTAAATTCGCTTATATATATTTAGTACAATTGTATCTATTTACTTAATTTAAAGCTTACAAAATATTTTTGATTTTTATTTTCCTTATTTTATTTGGCTTCAAAAGTGCGCATCACTGAGTGACAAAATGAGCATCTCTATTGCATTGGTTAGTTCCGATCAGCTGTCTTTGACCCAATCTCACAGGTGTGTTGGTATATTCCGAGTCGTCTCAGGGTATCCAGGCTTCGACTTCCTGGTTCCTGAGTCCAGTTGCCCCTGGCGATTTCCTCCTTGACGGTGGCGATGGATAGTTCCGCCTGTTGCTGCCGCCGGTTTGAATGTTTTTATTTTATTTATTTGTTTTACTTTTGTTTTATTTTTATTTATTTTATAATATTATTTTTGTATATATAATTACTTCATAATTTATTCATAACTAATTTATTTGAATTTCTTCTTTTTAAATAAATCTTTCTGCAGCGCATGCGCATGCGGTCTCTTCCTCTTTCTTTTCCCTTTTTTCTTTTCTCTCTGGAGATGGTCCCCCATTCGATATACTTCGCCTATCGATCTATCTGCCGACCATTACACATTTATATTTAAAATCAGTAAGGAGAGTCAAATAAAATATGGATACATGGTGCAAATATGTAAAAGATCAATACAAAATTCCGATTACTAATGTTAATAACAGATATATCGATACTGCGCTCGATACCCCTCCAACTATAATTATACACTGAATAAAGTTCTACTTAGTCTAACAGCCAAACGAAATATATGTATTTATATATTTGACCAACATCAACAACGGAGTCTGTCTGTCTATCAGTTTGCACAAACTACTATCAGCAGTCGCACACAACTCTATAAATATATATGTAGCCACAGCATGATAAGCTACGAAATCCGTATATATGTGTCATTTGTAGCCAAAGAGATTTATGAACACATATATATATACATATATACTTATTACTCAAATTGCCAGAATATTTTGCAATTTTTTTCTGAAGATTTGCTGTTTTTTAAATGGCTTCTTGGAAATGATGAAATGTAATAAAATAAAAAAATCAGAGCTGGGCAGGGAGTGTGTCGCCTCAACTGGAATTAGATGCAGCATCCTCGGGTAGATCGCAGTGCATGTATCCCAGTTATAATTATAATGACTGCTGATAGAAATACATATTTTGCATTTTGAGATAAATTTCAAATTTGAACAATTGGCACTGATTGATTTTATCAAAATATTCCCAGCGCAATTTTACCTACATTTTTTTAGAGTGGAAATGCTAGTGTTTAATCTATGCAGGGTATCTGCTGTTGCTGCAAGCCAACTACCGAACATTGAATACCTTATCTGATATAACATATATACATACATATATATATATACATATATATATAACATACACCCATATACATATATAGATAGTAAATAATATTATAATCTTTAAGCTTGGATTTGACAACAAATACAAAACTTATTGTTTATATTTTGATTAGTAGCAAATAAAAATGGCGTAGTTGTGCTATTTATACGCTGTACCCACTAAAAATTGTTAAACAGGGTATATTGGTTTGTGCAACTGTATGTAACGACCCCTTAAAGTATATATATTCTTGACCAGGGTCAACAACTTAATCGATATAGCCTATTCCGTCTGTCTGTCAGACACTATAAGAGCTAGAGACTTCGAATTTGGCATATACGCTCTCATATACCCGGCGCAGATCAAGTTTGCTTTATTTTATCGATAACTGCCTCAGTGTCTCGAATATCGATACATTTCAATTTCCGATAGAAATAAATAATACAACTTAAAAGGCAGCATCTTCTTATTAATACATAATATGCATATGCATATTATTGATGAACTGCCCAAATTTCATCAAGATTGGATGAGAAACAGCCAAGTTATAGTCGAAAGTATATTCTCATATTCAACTCATTTCTATCAAGCATTTTCTGCATGTGTGAGAAAGAGATGGCATGATAATCGACGCGGGCGTCAATTTGTCTTTGTGTGTTTTCTGCAGAGCACCGTTACCTGCGATTACCTGTACATATGTATGTGTGTAAGTATGCATGTGTATGCACCTGTTTGCCGCCAGCCAATTAGAATTAGTTCGGGCTTGTGAATAAAAATATGCGCTGCAATTGTTTTGTTTGTTTTAGAATATAATTAACATCTGGATGCAGGGTATATCGTAGTCGAGCTCACTCGACTACAGCATTCTTGCTTGTTTTCTTTATTATTGTTATAAACCTTATACACCTATGGACATTTAAATAAAACAAAAAAGAAAAGAAAATAAATAAAATTAATTAAAATAAAGAAATAAAGAAATAAACTTTTATTATTGATTGAACTACCTTGCACACCGTTATTATTGAGAATCCCATTATTATTGTTATTTTATCTGTATGTGGCGGATCTTCTTATGATTGAGGTTATGTTTATATTTATAAATATTCATCTACAGTAGACACAATTGAAACTATTCCCATTTATTTGTTCATCTATTATGATTCAAATGTGTCAAATATGATTTTATGCTACTGCGAAATAAATAAATATATATATATATACATATATATATATATATATATCCGTGGACCTGTCTGTCTACGCTTATCTGTTGCCGTGAACTTAACAAATTTGGTCAAAAGCTCGAAATCAACACCTGATCCAGGTTCCTCTAAAGCCATTGACGTCGTCTATTATCAGTGGTACTTCAATGCATATAAAATGCTATAAAATGTCGGTAGTCCAACTCTGAAGAATTAGTCTACATCTAATTCTATTGAGACCAGCTGGCCATACCAGGAAGAGATGGAATTAAATTGGGTTGCATTTACTTTATGCATAAGTCTGATCCTGATCAAAGGCGAATCCTCTTTCGCAACTACAGCTACCAAAAATGAAGTGAGTAAATAAGAATTAATTATATTAGACAAGCGAGTTATTCTAATTCTAAATTATATCAGATCTGCAAAGCATCAAGGAGAGAGGAGGAACAATGCGGATCATATGCCTATAAGGCCATGAAACCACTGCTCATCTACGTAGAATTGATGAGGACAAAAGTGGAAAACCATGATAATATAACATCCATTAAGAATAACGAAATTGAAGGCCTTCAAATGAAGATATCCCAATATGAATCAGATTTAATAAAGAATTTGAGAGAGCAGATTATTGCTGGATTGAGGGAACAGATCATCAAAAAGGACAGCGAATTAAAGCAGCAAAAGTTTGACCAGCAAAATGTATATGAAACTATCATTCAGGAACTGAGAAACTATAAAAATATAACAGTAAGTCAGAACTCTGAAATCAAGGAGTTGCAGAAGAAACTAGTTGATCAAAATGAAAATGTCGCCATCATACAGGGATTGAGAAATCAGATAGATTCATACAACAAGAACAATGACAATTTGCAATCAATCAGGAATGAATTAAATAAGCATCAATCAATCACTAAAATATGAGGAATGCACAAGTGATTTAATCTCCAAACAAAAACTTCAAATCGATAGCGATGCAATCAAATCGAAGGAGTTTCAGAAACAGTTGGAGGAACAAAAGAAAAATATTGACCAAAAGAACCAAGAAATATCCAAATTAAAAGATCAAATTAATAGCGAGGCAGTCAAATCGAAGGAGTTTCAGAAACAGTTGGAGGAACAAAAGAAAAATATTGACCAAAAGAACCAGGAAATATCCAAATTCCAAGGTCAAATTAATAGCGAGGCAGTCAAATCGAAGGAGTTTCAGAAACAGTTGGAGGAACAAAAAAAATATTGACCAAAAGAACCAAGAAATATCCAATTTAAAAGATCAAATTAATAGCGAGGCAGTCAAATCGAAGGAGTTTCAGAAACAGTTGGAGGAACGAAAGAAAAATATTGACCAAAAGAACCAGGAAATATCGAATTCAAGGTCAAATTAATAGCGAGGCAGTCAAATCGAAGGAGTTTCAGAAACAGTTGGAGGAACAAAAGAAAAATATTGACCAAAAGAACCAGGAAAAATCCAAATTCCAAGATCAAATTAATAGCGAGGCAGTCAAATCGAAGGAGTTTCAGAAACAGTTGGAGGAACAAAAGAAAAATATTGACCAAAAGAACCAAGAAATATCCAAATTAAAAGATCATATTAATAGCGAGGCAGTCAAATCGAAGGAGTTTCAGAAACAGTTGGAGGAACAAAAGAAAAATATTGATCAAAAGAACCAAGAAATATCCAAATTAAAAGATCAAATTAATAGCGAGGCAGTCAAATCGAAGGAGTTTTAGAAACAGTTGGAGGAACAAAAGAAAAATATTGACCAAAAGAACCAGGAAATATCCAAATTCCAAGGTCAAATTAATAGCGAGGCAGTCAAATCGAAGGAGTTTCAGAAACAGTTGGAGGAACAAAAGAAAAATATTGACCAAAAGAACCAGGAAATATCCAAATTCCAAGGTCAAATTAATAGCGAGGCAGTCAAATCGAAGGAGTTGAAGGAACAATTGGAAGCGCATAAGAAAACCATTGAGGAAAAGAATCGAGAAATATCCAAAACCCAAAACGATGTCAACAAAAGCGATGTGAAATTGGAGGATTTAAAGGAGATTAATTGCACATCTTTTGGAGATGATCCGGGTGTTCATAAAATCAGTTTTTCTCATTACTCCTTTGATGTCTTATGCGACTCGGAGACAGCAGGTCCTGGATGGATAGTTATCCTGCAGCAAATCAATGGTAAAGAAGATTTCAACAGGTCTTGGACAACATACCGCGAAGGCTTTGGTTCCTTTGATGGCGACTTCTTCTTGGGCTTGGAAAAGATCCATCGCTTGACGAGCTACAAACCCCATGAACTCTATATATATATGAAATTCTCGTATGGCTTGATGCGAACGACATATACGAGATATCAACAATTTGAAATTGCTGGCGAAAGCGATGAATACCAACTGAGCTTAAGTGGATTCAGTGGCAATGTCAGAGATAAAATGTCAGAATTTAACAATAATCAGAAATTTTCGACATATGATCGTGATAATGCTGGCTGGAATGATGGCAATTGTGCATTAAAATACCTTGGTGGATGGTGGTACCCTAACTTTTGTGGAGTAAGGTAAGTAAATGACTCTCTTCTTCATCTCTATTTATATATTTAACTGTTATCTTCTTTTATTCCATAGTATACTAAATTCAAATTACCATAACGTAAAGACCTTGATTGGTTATGGTATAGATTGGAGTAGCCAATTCAAAAATGTTAAAATGCTTATACGCCCAGCATAACTTTAAAAATTATAATGTTATTTGTATTTTGGAATTGTAAATATAATTACAGGAATTTTCAAATAAATAATTTAGCATTGCATTTATAATAAATTTTCTTATCCGATCTTGATGAAATTTGTGCGGTTCTTCTGCTTTTCGGGGTGCAACAAATCTTGGCTACCATTCAAATGCAAATCAAATCGATGGACGAGCGTGACAATTTTGGCAGCAGGCATACAGAATCAATTGCTTGCCACAGCAGAGGTAGAGAGTGAGAGAGAGAGAGAGAGAGAGAGAGAGAGTGTGTGTGTGTGTGAGAGAGAGAGAGAGAGAGAGAGAGATAGAGAGAGAGAAATGAAAGTCTTTTTTTTGCCAAATCGAATTCGAACAACTTGCGTCAAATCGAATAAAACTCGGGCAAAATGTGTGAAAAAAATGGCAACGAACGAATTGAACGCATATGGAAAAGGAAAATAAATAAAATAAAAATAAAAATATCAGAAAATATGGCAAATATAACAGATTTGCTTTTTTCACTTTCAATTTGAGTGCAACAATATTTCACATCATGTTTTTTCCCCCTTCTCCTTTTTTTTTGTGGCACATCTCTCAGTTGACAGTTGTGAGTGTGTAACAGCCACAGCCAAAAGATCAAAAGATATTGCTGCAGTCTGGCGGACGGCCCAAAACATACTGAGCAAAATATTTTTCGCTTTCTTGTTGTACCCCGCCCCGCCTTCACTGCTCATCACACTATCTCTTCTTTCTGCTCTCCACCTCCTTTACACACACTCGCCGTCTTATTATTATTATTATTAGGGGGGAAGCTGCACCGCGACCTATTTGATCTATTGTGCCCCCCTTCTGAGCCTATAGCTCTTCCATCAGCCCCAACTCCCTTACGAACGTGAGGATCTTTGTTGGGTTGAGGTCTACTATGTCTTTGTAATTCAAAACATGCGCCCCTAGGATGCTGCATCTTCTTCTAATTAAGGCGACATATTCTGCCAGGATGTGCATCGAGGATTCCTCCTCTCTTTCACAAAACCTGCAGAGATCGCTACTATATATACCCAATTTTGTCAGGTGACTCCTTAGTCTACAGTGTCCTGTCAATAGACCGGTAAGTATCCTAAGGTTGTTCTTTCCCATGGTTATAATCTGTTTAAAACGTACAAGATTATAACCACCAAGGAGGCATCTGGCTTGTCGGAGTCCTACTGCCTCTGACCAGCTCTGATGCCGTCTCTGTCTCTCCTCGTTTCTAAGTTCCAGTCGTATAGTGTGTCTCCCTATGCCACAATACGGTTCTGGTCCTGTTAAGGGCCTTTCTGCCCCCATTCTTGCTTGCTTGTCAGCCGCCTCGTTTCCCGCTATGTCCCTGTGACCCGGGACCCATCGTAGGGTGAGCCTGTTGTGAGTCCCGAGCAGGTCTAGCTTTGAACGAACTTCATGGACTACCTTCGATGTTATCTTAGTCCCCATTATAGCTTTCAATGCTGCTTGACTATCGGATAGGATGGATATATCCGTATTCCGATAGTTACGTTCTATGTTGATGTCCGCACATCTCCCTATCGCACACACCTCAGCCTGAAATATGCTGGTGTGCGTTACCAGGAATTCATGGTAAAATACCCGAGGACCCACCACTCCAAGGCCGGTGCCCTGATTCGTGAGTGATCCATCGGTGTACCATTTTATGGTGTGCGGTTTCATGGGATGGACTTCATCCAGAGTTGTCCATTCCCTTTTACTACTCATACGAACTGTGAAATTTCGCTCGAATATGTATTCGGCTGCCATTTCGTCCCTAGGTTGCGTCAGTAGGGGTAGTTCGTTTGAAAGGAGTTGGGCATCTTTATGGCTTAGGATATGATTGCCCCCAACTCCTTCTGCTGATATCCTGAGAAGCGTAGCTTTCTGCTTGAGCCTTATGATATGGTGGAGTGGTGTGAGCTCCATTAAGGCTTCAAGGGCCATTGTAGGGCAGGTGCGCATAGCTCCTGTCATACATACGCAGGCCATTCTTTGCAACTTTTGGAGTTGTTTCTTCACGGTGATCATCCGCGCCCTGTCACCCCATGCAACCACCCCATAGGTTAACATGGGTCTTACTACCATCAGGTACAGCCATCTTAATATCTTTGGTGATGTACCCCATGATTTGCCGGCAATACTACGACATGTATAAAGCGCCCTGGAGCACTTTAATATCGTGTTTTGCACATGGGTGCCAAAGTTAAGTCTGCTGTCAAAAGTGACTCCCAGGTATTTGACCTCCCTACTTGTTTCTAGTAGGGTCCCTGAGAGCCATATTTGTCTCATCCTCTGTAACTTATGTCGTCTGGTAAAGGGGACGATGACTGTTTTCGTAGGGTTTAGGTTGAGTCCAACCTCCCTACACCAGTCATACGTTATCCTTATCCCTGACTGGACTATGTCACAGAGTGATTCTTCAAATTTGCCTCGCGCTATGATAACAATGTCATCGGCATAACCTTGACATTGAATACCACTGTTGGCAAGTCTGTTTAGTAGTTCGTCTACTAACAGACTCCAGAGTAGCGGAGACAACACCCCCCTTTGGGGACAGCCTTTGGTGGTTAGGACTGTTACGCGTTAGGTTTTTCTATTCAATCCCTTCTACTTTTTTTCAGCTTCTCTTTAAATAATCATTTTATTTTTGATCGTGCTCGTCTATAAATTGTCCAAGCACACATACGTATGTATGTATGTACATATACATATGTATGCATGCATCTGCGCTTCACTGAGAAACATGTGTGCGAGTGAAACAACAACAACAGTGAAATTAATCGAAATTCTCACGGACAGATAAGAAATACACGTGCATGTGTGTGTGTGTGTGTAAAGTGCAGCCAAACAAGTGTAGACATGTTTGGATTAAAATGCACGGTTAGAATATTCATATTATTTGAAATGGGCAATCTGATAATCTTAAATAGTGTTTTCTTTTTTTACATGAACATAACTGTAAATGATGTAGTTAACCCAATAAGAACCCATCGCAACCGGAAGTTAATTTGAAAAAAAAACTCGATTCGATTAATAATCATCTTCGGGTGTTTCATTTATTCAGCTGACTACACTTTTTTTTTAGTACAATAACAAAATATATAAAATGATAAATGATTAAAAATTGACTTTAATATGAATAAATATTATTTAATATAATTTCTCTCACTTGAACAATAAATATTAAATTAAGAATAAGCAGAATCATTGTCATCTTTAGTTTGGCAAAGTGGAATTCTATTTGCAACGACTTGTTTAATTTAGCTTGTTAAAAAGTGATTAAATCAAAACTGTAAAACTTTTGTTTGAAATTGAAAGTTTGTTAAATAGAATTTACCTAATTAGCTAAGTATGTAAATGTACATACACATATTCATATGTATACCTTTCATCTACACAGATGTAGATACATACATATATATTTATTTATTTTTATATATACACATTAAAGATTTAAATGCTTAACGCTTGCAATTGCAATTAAATTGTTGGCACTTTAATCGCTTTTTGCGCATCTCTATATTTATACCTGCCCCCTCCCCCCTCTCCTATCTCTCTCACTTTCTCTTCATCTATTTACTTTCCGTTTATTAGATCAATTCGAAATTGTGACTTAATTCAGAATAGATTGTTACAATTTCGCTTAAATGTAAATTACACATGAGCTTTTGCCCAATTAATATGTGTGTTTCTCTCTCTCCCTTTCCCTCTATTTCTCTCTATTCGTATTTCGTGCATGTGTGTGTGGATGTGTGTACGAAACACGCATATGCAAATTTGCTGTAAGGCAGGTCGCAAATAGCGCAGCGACTATTTTTCCTCACGCAGCTAGAAACGGCTAAATAAGCAGCTAAATACATAGCTATAAGTGTACCTCTATTTAAATATGTATGTATGCGTGTGTGTGTGTGTATATAATCAAGCTATCGGTCGTTGCGCTACACACACACGCACAAAACACACACATATGTGTGTGCGTGTGCTGCAAGCGTTAAACTATAATAAAATCAATGTGTAGATGCAGCTACGACAATGTGCCACATGCTGCCACTATGTACACACATACATACATACATACATATGTATATCTATATATCAATACATATGCACTTATGTATTGTTTGTCGTAAACAAATTTTTTTTATTTTTTGCTCTCTTTGTATATATACATACATACATCACTTACCACTACAACTACCTAAACTCCCCCATCCACAGATTGAGCGCAATGCTCAGCAACGATCGCTGAAGAGAGCGCACTTCTACCTCTCTCTCTCCAAATTTGAATACTCTCAAGAGAACGCTCAATTGCTCTTTAAGTCAGAGAGCGGGATCATAATTACTCTTAAGTTTGCTCTGTGCTTATATTCTCGTTCTCTCTCTCTCTCTCTCGCATACACACTGCCTCATGTATGCTGGAAAAGCAAATAAAAAAAAAAGATCGCTCGACCCAACGAAACGTGAACGTGACTTGGCTCGCCTGCTTTGCCTGCTTCGCGTCAATTTTGTTTTCTTCTCATTTCGTGTGCCATAAATACAACTCTTGTTGCTGTTCTTTTTTCGTTCATTACTTGCCGCTCCTTTGTTCTGCAGATCGCTTCCAGCCTCTGCCTCCGCCTCGCCCTCTCCCTCACCTATCACACACTAGTGCAAACTTTGTATTTTTTTTTCGCTTGCTGTTTTTCTGTGTCTTTGGCTTTGTTTGTGGTTGTTTTTGAGCTATTTTTTTCTGCTCTTTGCATGGGGGCTTCTTGTTATCGCTTTGTTTTTGTAGATGCACAGATACTAATACAATTCATAGGCCTCTCGTTGTATGTGTGTGTGTTTGCTTGGTTTGGTTTGTTTTCATTTTTTTTTGGTTTTATTTATCGTTGGTTTCCTCATTTTACGCCTATTTGTTTTGAAATTAAATTAAACGACGCATAACAAATCAAGGGGAAAAAACACATTTCCCCTCACTGGATTATCTTTCCAGTGTGCAGGTTAGCAAAATAAATTGTATTTCTGGAAAGCATCTAACGAATTTCCAGGCAGCAACAACAAGAACAAGAACGAGCCCCCCTTTAAAATGGGTGTAAAAACAAAAACTCTAAAACTGGTTGAGCAATTTGCATTTGCTTGCAAATTTGTTTGCAAATATAGAATATATTTCAATTTGAACTTTTAATCGATATAAATACATAAATGTATATGTATGTATATACATAGATCAGATACATCAATTAGCATTTATAAAATTAGTTCCAAGAAAATCAACTTGGAGTCAACTCTAAGCCAAATGGCGCTAAACTGAAATTTTTCCCAGAGGAAGAGTAATTTGAGAACATTGTGTCGTATGCGTAATAAAGGCTTATTGTCCTTGCTAACGACGTAATTTGTTTAGCTTAATTGTCAATAAATAATGGTAAAAAAAAAGTGCGCACTAGTAGTAACGGTACACATATACACATGTACGTGAATTTGTCGCAAAAGGAAAACTAAAAAAAAACGGAAAACAACAATAAAAAAAAAACAGAAATCACAAAAATTCGCACATAATTTTTCAAGCTCAACGGCGATAAAAACAGCTGCGAAAATAACGAGCAGGATTTGAAGCGTGATGCAGGCAAACCTTTCAAGTCCATATGCACAAGTGTCCGTGTGTGTGTGTGTCACCAGTGCTGCCACTTCAGCACAGAAAAAAATGGTATAATAAAAAACAAGAAGGCAATCAAAAAGATTTTTAAGATTAAGATTTTTGTTATGATTTTTTGTATTATTAAGACAATGGTTGAAAGCACAGAATGCAAAAATAAGTTAGTTTGCTGCTAAACTAACAAAAGAGAATCTTATAAGCGCAATAAGATCACTTGGGAACAAAAACAGCACAGATCACAGCAAAAACACTCCCGGTCACAGCGACAGCTGCAAATTAAAGCAGTTCTCCACAGAATGCTATATGTTCAGTGGAGAGATACTCCATAAGGAAGGATCGGTCGAATGATCGCCGATCAGAAACTATTTGAAGAGATATTTTAAACCAACATATTTCCTACATTGGGGGACTATCATTATGCTTCTTTAGTTCAAGGTATTCTGGTGTAAGATAAAGCCTTCTTACTGCTCGTTCCATAGTCTCTAGTATGAAAATTTAAAGATTCGCAAATACTTTTGGGATCTGCTGGAAGGCTTTTCCAACATAGGAATGAATACTAATTTGAATTGTAGTTACGTAGCGGAAATGAAGAGCTAAGTTAAAAAATGCTGCAGTATATTTTTCCCTTTGCCAAGCATTTTATTTATTCAGTATTTGTTATTTTTAGGGAATTATACACTTTCTTTTTAAAGCGATGCTAATTTTTCAAAATATATGACTTATCGCGTGCACACCTTTTTCAAAAAGAAAAAAGTTAAAAAATATTACCATATCTAAAAAAACTGGCATCAGCTGCTTTTGACTCATTCTTTTTATTCATTTTGACCGTTGCTTGTCCACAACGACACTCAGATCTTGCAAAACAGTGCAATGCATGAAAAACGCCAACAATTTCATAACTTATTTTTGCAAAACATTTCAAACAGCTGTGACAGTAGATGCAAGATGCAAGATGCTAGATGCGGGATGATGCCCTCTTAAGATACTTTTGACATTTTCAAGCAAATCCTGCACGTTCCGCTAGATGCGACTCTGTGTACAGTTCCTATAGTGATGAGCAGCTCACCTGAAACAAATTGGAAATGGAACGCGATCGATACCGAAAATTGGCGCTTCTTTTGAAAACGTAAAGAAATTGAAAAGTTTTGCACAAATAAGAATAAATATACAGTAAGTTTTGTTTATCCTGCTTAATTCTCTTTTCTAGTAAAACAATGCTAAAATATCAAATTGGTTTGAGACAGCTAAGATGGCAGCACTGTTTAGGGCAAGCACTGGTGAACTAGTTCACTGAACTGTCATATCACTGATATCGGTTCAACAATGAAAATAATGAAAATTTCACGTCATCCACGCTGTCTGAAATAAAATATGTGAGTATTATAATTTAAACTAACATTCAGAGCTTGTATTGCTTTTTTGTTACACAATAATGTGATAGTTTTCCATGTGATAATGTTGTGCTCTCCGGTTTTATTGTCTATTTCAAATTGTTATTTGTTGGAAAACTCGTTAAACACCGGGAAATAGGATTTTCTGTTCGTTTTTTTTTTACTCCGATTGTACGTGCGTTAATAGATATTAAAATATCAATTCTTCTTCAAATTGGATAGTATCTGTTGGAATTTAAACACATACACCATATACACGCACACACAGAAATGTATACATATATGCGTGTGCAACATACATATGCACACTATTTTCTGAGGAATGGTATAAAAAATGTGCGCTGTGAATTTGTAAAGCAATCTTCAACATAATTATGCACAAACGCAAAGCACAACTCTTCTGTATGCATATGCTCGGTATTTGAGTAAAAATATATTGTTAATTCCTAATTACTCAATGTACAAACAATTTCCTTCTATATATATTACATAAATTAGCGCAACATTCGAAGTAACGTGCTTGCCGTCCACCGTCAATTTGCTGTCTCTGGCATATTACGTCGACTGCCTCGAACAATTTGTGTTACAAGCTGCACAGATTGTAGAGCCCCGAGATTAAGGCATCAATTTGTGGCTGGAATTTGTGGTAGGTCCCATAAGGGGCCCCAGTATTATCATCCAAAATTAAGTCTTGGGCAACCTATTCTCTTCAGGTATGTTGGAGTTTTCTTGTAAAAATATTTAAAAGTGCGAAAAGTTGTAGACGCCTTATGAATTGACACTAATTATGCATTGCATTTTATTTTTCAGTCAGTTCTATAACGATAACCTTGCTGCGTGGACACATCCAGGCACTACCGAGTCATCCGAAGAGCACACAACTAAAGCGATTGCCGAAGAGGAACATAGAGTGAACAATAATTCGGCGGAGATGACACTACCAAGTGCGGCTCGCGTTTACACAGACGTAAACGCCCACAAGCCAGACGAATATTGGGATTATGAGAATTATGTAGTCGACTGGGGCAACCAAGACGATTACCAGTTGGTGCGCAAGTTAGGGCGTGGCAAGTACTCTGAGGTGTTCGAGGCTATCAACATAACAACAACTGAGAAATGCGTTGTGAAAATATTGAAGCCTGTGAAAAAAAAGAAGATAAAGCGCGAAATTAAGATTTTGGAAAACTTGCGTGGGGGCACCAACATAATAACGCTCCTTGCTGTCGTCAAAGACCCAGTATCCCGAACTCCAGCACTGATATTTGAGCATGTGAACAATACAGATTTCAAACAACTCTACCAAACACTAACAGACTACGAGATACGCTACTATTTATTCGAGCTACTTAAGGCACTCGACTATTGCCACAGCATGGGAATAATGCATCGCGACGTAAAGCCACACAACGTGATGATAGATCATGAAAATAGGAAGTTGCGTCTCATTGATTGGGGTCTAGCTGAGTTTTATCATCCTGGTCAGGAGTATAATGTAAGAGTGGCGTCCCGCTACTTTAAGGGTCCCGAGCTCCTTGTCGATTATCAAATGTACGATTATTCGCTAGACATGTGGTCGTTGGGATGCATGCTTGCGTCTATGATTTTCCGCAAAGAGCCATTCTTCCATGGCCATGACAACTATGATCAACTTGTGCGAATTGCTAAGGTGCTGGGCACCGAAGAACTGTACGCGTATCTTGATAAGTACAACATTGATCTAGATCCGCGATTTCACGATATTTTGCAGCGCCATTCCCGCAAGCGCTGGGAACGATTTGTTCATTCTGATAACCAACATTTAGTGTCTCCAGAAGCATTAGACTTCCTTGATAAGCTATTGCGTTATGATCACGTTGACCGTCTTACAGCTCGTGAGGCTATGGCGCATCCATACTTTTTGCCAATAGTTAACGGACAGGTGAATCCCAGTCAGCAATAGACACGGATTTACACTATAATGTATACAAACTTTTGTCGAGACAGCACGGTAACAGTTACGAGGACGGGTACGAGTACTTTGAAAGGAAAAAATCGTTATGTGCTCAATCTAAAAAGATGAATAAGGATCAAATTCAATAATATGCATCGACCCACAGACCGGAACCATAAATTAATGGACATTCACCGATTGCACTCAAATATAACAACAGTCAGTAAAAGAAAAGGTTATTTGAATTATAATTTTTGCAAAATATAAAACGACAGTGATTATAAAAGTACTCAAGTACTTCCATATACAACATTTTCAAATATTTCTGTTTAAAAACTCATACATGCACATGCTTAAGAATGAACATCAGGCTACATTATAATTAACATATATTTATACCAATAATTATAAATATAATTCAATAAAATCTCCATTTCTTACAAAAGCTAATTACCATTATGAAGTCGGACATCGCTCACCTTAACAATATTATTATACAAAACAAAAAACCAGCCGTTATCTATTTGCAAAAATAGGCGTTTTGATTTGTTTTTGTTGTTGATTGAGGTGGGAGATTAAACTCTAATTCTTGGAGCTTATACAGATAACCATATTATTTTTTTTGGGGCGACTTAATATAAAGTATCAATGTGTACATACGAGTATATATATATCGATCACGTTGCATAAGTTTTGGTTCTGATTAATAAGCAGTTGTTAAAAACGAATATTCAAAAAAAAAACATTGAGATTGTTTCATGAATTGCATCGCAAAATTACACTTCACAAAGTGATTTTATCTCTATATCTTGGCTATCATCATTTGCTGTGCAAATTTGTGCAACATTATCAGGAAAGCATCTCTAACCAAGGATTATATATGCTTATATACTTGTCCGGCATCAACAGCCGAATTGATCTACCTATGCCAGTGTTTCTGCCCGAGCATCTGTATGAATAGCGCTTTCTCACACGATCATTTTCGTAACTTATTTATTTCATTTGATCAATAGCCTTAACCGTTTATTTAATATATCTACTAGTATTGTATATTACTTTTTGCAAAATATATACCCGTGGTATTCTTATAAATTAGGTCTTAAAAATCAATTCTTGTGAGACACGCAACAATATTAACCCTTTTATAACAGGCACCAAATAGGTCATTAAGTAATTCAATAAAAACAGGGTCAGTTACATTTCTTTATTTATTGCACCGTGCACAAATATAGTTATCGGATCCCTATTTCCTATATAACGAACATTGAAATAATAGGTCCGTTTTTTTAATTATGAATACAATTTAGATGGATCTGTAACGCTACATAATCTTACATTTATTCTTTGAACGAAAAGTAAGATGTTTCTAAGAATTATTGAAAGTTAACGATCAGGCTTGGAATCCGTACGAAGTCGGTATCTGTGCTGATAAGTATGCAGGTTGATCTTGGAGTAAACGGTAACAATAAGCAAATTACGAGAGAGTCTTAAGTTCTAGGAGTCCCTGAAAGCAACGGATATAAACGGTTGACTTAACTGTATTAGTGCTTATTTTGAATTTGCTGAGTGATTCAAAGGTCTTGCGCATCTCGACAATATAGTTATTGCTCACTTGAGTCGAGCACCAGAGTAAAATGACGAAAAAAATGCTTTTAAACAGCATCAGTTTCTCAATATTTATTCCATGGGTCGATTTAATTATATATGCAACATCCATTGAGATACACCATTATCATGCAGTATGTGCATGATCGAAATGGAAAATTCTCTGTTGCCATTTGGTCATGGTACCCCCTGCATACAGAAAGTTAAAGGATGTCCTCGGTCTTCTGGAGGTTGTTAATATCGGCTTAGAAGTTATGCTGGCGTCAAATTCCCTTATGTCTTCGGTATAGCCTGAAGAGGATGAGCCAGCTACCAAGGAAAAAGTCGCTACCTATATAGGAACCTATGTTGACCGTGACCTCATCGACAAAAGTGAAACAAAATATTAAAGTGATAGCTTGTTCGATGTCATGGCTTGACTTGAGCGCAGCAGTTTCATCGTTGAATGTGATGGCTGGCGCAATTAATTCAATTTTAGAGGGAGTTCTCAGTTTGACGCGCACTTTCGCGCTAAAAGTTGATTTACTTTTACAGTATTTTAGCATCTAATCTCTATGTTCGCTTTGCACGCTCCTCAAAAGTTTTATTTTCAATGGCTTCTCATTGAAATCGCAGTCCTCAAATTTCAGTTTCATATAGTTGACCCTTGTAAGCGAATCCTTAGCTTCTTGTAAATAGAGCAATTTAGAAATACGGTATCTATTTCTATGTTAAATTTTTCCGCACATCGTTAGGTAGCATCTGGGTTCAAATAAAAATAAGTTGCCTGTCAATCTTCTAATTGGTAGCTCTGTTCCTCATTTACCAGCAACATCACAGTAAACTAATATTTCTTGAATTAACATTCTTTACATTTCTCTTCCCATACCGTTAAAAAAAAAAAAACTGCGAAATTTGATAAATCATCACAAAACAATCCCAACTTATTTTGAATGTTGAAAGTGCAGAATGCTATCTCTTATGGGAAAATGCACTTACTCCGATTTTTCTAACATTCCATACCATAATGTGAATGGTATTGTACTAGTAGTAAGTGTTTGATTCTAATTTTCTTAAACTTGGATAAACTCAATCGAAATTGTATCGAAAATACTTGTTTGACTACAGAAGTTTCTTCTCATGTGCGTGATGATTTATTTGTTTTTTTTATGCGATTTTAATCTTTCAAATCTTTTACTACCACTTTTTACGTCTTTTGTCGAAAGCCGTTTACTTTACGCCGTGGCCACCTCAAGGTTGTAATTACACTCTCGTATTCTTATGGAACACTGATACTGATTGCGCAGGTAGGATTTATTCTTATTTTCTAATTTAATTTAGGCACTACAAGTTGGATCACCGAAATATTTTATAGTAAAGCTACATATTCGAAAAAAAGATACATTTTTTTCAATGTATTACGAATTGAATTAGTCATAAGTTTCATAAGTTATGTACGCGTTTTGCAAACAATTTGTATCAATTGAAAAAAAGATTAGAAATTTATATTTAACTGTTCATATTCTAAGCTAAAGTCATTAGTAACTCTTGATTGTATTCTTAAACTTTAACTTTTCAATTGTAAAGTAATGATCATGCATCCTAGTGTATATTATTATCAAAATTGCAGTAATTTCTTTCAATTGGTTCCTCATTTAGTTTAATAAATTAAATTTATTTTATGTAATTGACGATTTGGTTTTCTTCAATCACATTGTTGAACAATTTAACTAAGGACAGACAAACAATCGTGATGGTGTATTTATATTTTTATTTAAGTTCATCAACAAATGCTGCATTTAACTCTGCAATGTATTTATCATCTTGGCTTTTAGTGCAGATGTCATTATTAGGATTTAAGTCAACTGTGATGAACTGCCGAGAATCGTCTGAAATAAGATTCGGAAGCACATCAATTTTTTTGTCATCTTCATGAGCATTTAGTAATGTATCATTGATTGCCGATTTTTCCGGCATATTTTTATTTTTCTTGGTATTTTGAAATTTCTTTTGTTGTATCGCTGGCGGCATGAGCTCTCTTTCACCAATACTCATACTCGGAATTTCCTCATTTGAATAGTGCATAGAAGGAGGACTTATTTCGCTATTTATTTGTCCATTTTTGTAATTGTGTTTGATTTGTTGAGCGTCGATTGGATTTTCCTCCATCACAATTGGATTTTCTTCAATAACAATTTGATTTTCTTCAATTACATTTTGTTTCGAGCTCGTATTTATATTTGTATTACTTTGTTGTTCCCTCTTTAACGTTAAGCTTTCTCTTTCAGGATGAATAGTTTTTTCGACTGAAGCGATCATAGATTTACAACAAATACGTATGTCTGAGCTTGGATCTGTTTTGTAAGCTTCATCTAGTATGTACAGAATAATATTCCTTGGAGAAGAGCTGGAAATATTTCTCAATTTTATGAATCTGAATAACGTTTTATATATTTCAAGCCGACAGGACCAGTCATCATAAGGATTTTGCATCATCAGCCGCTTTTCAGACATTTGAACAGCAATTTCCAATATAGTGTTGAGTATCAACTGTTGAAAAAATTAAAATTGATTCAGATTAGCACATTATTAATAAAAAAAAATCACACTTTCTAATTGCAACATAAATTTAAATCACTAGTTTGATTCTGATTTGGAGTAATGAATATTTCAACTACACCGAAAACGGTTCACTCTTAAGGCAGTCATCTTGTTGTGTAATATTTTCAATAATAACTTTCTGTTAATATTATCACATTCTCGTGTTCGATGATGTGCAGCGTATTCCATCCTACACCGATCCATTTTGTGATTGTCCCCTTGATTTTACCTTCATACACACTTAACTACGCTTTCCACGAGTAAATTGTTTAATGCTTTGCTTCAAGTATTCTTGGTAAAACTCTCTCTTCCTTCATTGAAACTTATCATTAATTTTTGATTTTGTGGTTTCTCATATTCCTGTTAGTCCACCTTTATATCTACTTTTCTCTCTAGCATAACCTTCAATTAAATAACATCTTCATTTGTATGACATTTCGCAAAAGTATTTCTATTTAATTATTTATTGATATAAGACTAAATAAGTTTAATTTGGCTTGTAACAAAATACGTTTTGAAAATGGAAACGGAAAAATTGTGTCCTTTTTCAAATGAGTACACGGTCGATCATTGGCATTTCAACAACCACATACTTACGAAGTTTATATTTTGAGGAACTTACATTTAGAAGTGGTGACTTTAATAAATAACCAACTGAATCAAGAACTGCCTGCAGACACAGAAAAGCTTCCATACAAAGAGCCACTCTGCCCTTATTTGTTATATGTTCGCCTTGAATAGATGGCTCAGATATTAAAGAATGGCTTCTTTTACCTTTCTTTTGAGGTATATTTTTCGACTGTGCTGCGGACTGCAATTAAAAGTTTATTAAACATTCGAATAAAAACATAATAGGAATATTTACCAGTAAATATATATCTGTTCTACGTATCATCACATCTTCCAAAATATCTCTGACAAGCCGATCTGCAATTAAATCGCACCCGCTTCCTTCGCCAAGTGTAGAAATCCACAACATTGTTACTTTGTGCATCTGCATTCGCAAATTACTATAAAAAATATTAAATAATAAGTAACAGACTAAGATACGTAACTAAGTGTAACAAATTTCTAAATTCTTAACCGATCTTTATTATTGTGAGATTCTACGCTAGTTGCGAAGTACCGCTACAAGAAAAAGCCACAAAAATTATTTATGTATTTGAGGAGTGCAGAGTGCACTTAGTTGTTTACTTTTAGTGTTTGAGAGTCAACTGAAAGTGTTTCTGTGACAACTGGAGAGTATATATTTGTTTATTGTGCAATGTCTAAAGACTCTCTGTGCATCCGTATGTCTGTCAATTACAATCAGCTGTACTGTAATATAGAGTGTAATACAATCTGAAACACCATTCACTGAACACTGAAAAAACCATTCTCGTAGCGGCGATTGTTGGAAAGGCGTAACTCAACCTTTGAAAAACTTTGTGAGCAATCCATCTTATATATATGTTTCCTATCATTATTGGGGCAAAAGTTCAAAATTAAGAAGCAACCGCGTAACCAGAAACTTTTTTTTTGAGGGGTTTACTAATTACTCTATATTGCAAATTTTGATATAGACTTTCTATAATCGATCTACACTTCATAACAAAAATATGGACCACCAAAGACATGTGCACCATTGAAAATATATATATTAAAATTTAATAGCTAACAAATTTTGAGGAATTTGTAAATTGGAATAATGTATTATATGACCTACATATTAGCAAACAGTTTGAAGTCTCTCTGGTCTAGTCTAGTATACATAAATAAAATGTAAACATACCAAAACTCAATTTGAAATCCGGCTGATGACCATTTTGTCTTATTTAGTGACTCCAGTAGAATACTTGTTATTAGTCTAAAATGCATCCTGAGGTGAGTGTGGCAGCTAAATGAAGAGAAGAATGAGTTATATTTATGGGTATTTCTTTTACTATACCTAACAAAGCAAAATTATTAATTTATGACAAATAATTAAGAAAATCTGCAGAATATATATTTAATTAATATAGCTAAGCTTATGTACATCAAAAGGTATATTAAAATTAAATCTGCAAATATAAAGTTGAAGACTCTATTAGACTCTACTGTTGCTGCTGTTCAATTGGTATTGCGCACATTAGTAAGTAAATTTCACATACAACACAGAAATAATTATCTTTTAAAGCCTACACAGATGAACTTCTGAAAAGAATTGCAATCAGAAAACGAAAATTTAGTAGCTTAATAATCACAGATAAAAGTTAAGATTATTATTAGATTATTATCCAAAGTAGACTGATTTCTGGTTACTACTTTCTGTATCAGTGTATAAAAGTTCATATTGTATTTAATAAATTAAAATTTATTTACGTACAATATCGTAAACAAATTTTAAGTTTGCTAAGCCGCTGAGGTTATTTTAATTAAAGTACTTCTCATTTTAGATTTTAATATTTCGCAACTTACATATCAATCAATACTTCCAGTAATTCGAAAAGTTTTGTATGCAATGTGGGCAAAACGTTTCTTAAACAGACATTATCCATACTTTGATTGCTCACATCAATTTTGTCCCTCAATCCTAGTCCATTTTGAATAAAATCCAAAATTTTTGTGGGCCGTATTAGTTTAGTTGATGGATATGGTTGGCTGTTAAAAAAAAGAAAGTGTTAAAAAAGCACTGTATTTTCGGTGCTTTATCGAAACTTAAATACCCTTGTAGTCTTATGCAAAAATCTAAGACAACTTTCACACATCGGCATTTCTGAACTGAATTTTAATTGATGAATTTTAAAGTTAAATTTTTTACTAAACAAAAACTATTATTTGCAAGAAACACAGTTTTACAGATGTGGTCGAATTCATCCCCAAAAAGACGGAAGTGAAGTTCACTTAATATTCAAAAGCTTGCGCTAATTAAATTATTTAATGTGAACTGAATTTATAACTAATAATTATTCTAAAACTTAACTGTGGCATATCTAAATACACAGTGAAACATGTAGGCAGGTCTGCCCACAGGTAATCTTGCATGCAACCAGACAGATGGACCAAGACTACATATTATTCTTATCTTGTTGGATATGTCTTCCTTAACGAATGTCTTGCATAGTTAATTACATATAATTGTAATATGCGTTGCAAGGGTATTTTGAACAACACCCTAATTTTCTAACCTTAACGCAATCTTTAGGAAGTCAATTAGATTGTAGAACCGTCTGCAAACTCGAGCCACCCTTTCAATTGGATCTCCTTGTAATTCCACAGTAAAATATTCCAATTTGTTGCTTGTATCCATCGTAATATAATCACTTTTATGATTGCGAAATACATCGATTAGGAGAGCATTGAGACTGCCCAATAAGCCTAGTTGGTAATCTTGCCATTGGGTCTTAGAGTTAAAATTTCCCTCGTTGCTCCCGCGTACTTGTTGTAATAGCAGCCAGCAATTGCCGCATTTATACACTACTTCTGGATCACTGCTGTCAACTAATGCTAAGAGGTACCGCACAATTAAAGGCTTTCCAGATTTACTAGGTCCAGGATAGTATTTCAAACATTGTTGTATTGCCTTGAGTGCAGCCACAGTACATGCTGTTTTGCCTATCTGTTTTTCCAAAATAGCGAAGCTTTCGTAAAGCTTTCCTAGATAGGTAGCACCAAACCATTTCGCAATTTCTGGTACAATTTGAATTTGAAAAACAAGCAGTGCTGGAAAGAAAGGGAATTAAAAACGATTGTTATTAAAATTTTGATACCAGTGTTATCAACTCTTCAAAACAAAATAAATAAAGTTTTAGTCAGAAAATAAACATAAAAAAGATAAATATGGTTTTTGAAGGTGTTAAAACCCAACAGATAATATTCTGCTGCTTTACATATATGTTATATTTTCGAAGTATTGCGTATTCTAATAATAAAGTAACTTTGAAGAGCCATATTTTACCAGACTCTATGCTCTACAACAAGTTTAACTCTTAAATAATTCAATTGGACAACAAAATGCAAAAGGCAGAGGGCAGCAATATACGATGTGCAAAGAGAACAAAATTACAAAATTCTTGGGCAGCAATCATATATTTCAAATATGATATCCTAAATGGCCCTTTCAGCGGAATTAACAAGACAATACCTGAAGAGTATAGTTAATAGAAATTGAAAAATTGTATTACTGGTGGATGCCATGAATATATCAATAAGGATATTTAATAGAAGCGGAGATTGACATAATTTAAATGATTCCTGGAAGAGATATTTACCATTTCCAATATATTTCAAGTACACAATTACAATTACTTGCGTCACGGACTTTAAAGCAAAGCTTATCTGTTGGGCAAGCTAAGTTGACCAATCCAATCAAACATTTTATTTACACAGTTTTCAGGCAATTCCGATAATTCTGTTGGTTTTATTTATTTGAATGCGTGGCATACAATCACTTTGGTTTACACGCATATTTATGACAACATTTTCAAAATTCCACTTTCTTACTTTTACCTTTGGTGCCAGACTATTAAAAGCAAATTTTTTGAAAGAAAATCGGATACAATTCATCAGCGATTTTACTTACGAATTTTGTGACATTCCATTGTTTTTTTTTTTTCTATATTTGAGAGGCGTTCAGATTACTATTTAGTGGTATTGTCGGCTTAGTGGTTCAGAGTAATCTACATTCCGAATTTCTACCTTCAATGCCAGAATAAAAATACTAACAAATTCTGGCTTAAAATTATATCTTTTGTCATGAAAAGTTTGAAGCTTAATTTGAATGACATGAAATATTCTAGAAAATATTTAGTGTGCAATTCAATTCTAATATTATAAATAAATTGAAATTATAAGTTTTAACAGTATTAAAAATGGTAGGTATTCGTACTGATTTTATAGCAAAAGCAAAAAAAAAAATTCTGCCATAATTTTTGATCTAACATATGTCTATGTGCATAGGTATATATTAAAGAAACTATTGAAATTAATTAATGCTCAATCAACAATTTTTCCACAAAAAATGTAAAACATGTGCGAATGGTCTTGTCGAGAGGGCTTAAAATATCCTAAACTAGTTGTTATTCTAGTTTTGTTGCCAAATATTCCTAAAGTTTTGCATATTTAAAGATATTTACAGTTCGTTGCAGTAGCCGAACAATATTTCCATTGCTTTGCCGTTACGTAGTAAATTCAAACAGTGGTTCTCAACATACCCAAAGCTTCGTAGATAAGTTCGCCGTATAAGCTGACTTCATTTGTATTGCAGGCTCTAATTAAGATAGTCAGCCAAATATTCGCTTTCTTTTCTAGAACATTTTTTGGACATTGGTTGAGGTATTCAATCAAGAAACGCAGTCCGACTGATCTAGTCTTAGTTTTTGAAAGCAAGAAGTTAATCGATTGTGCTTGTGACGCCGCGTTCTGTAAAACATAGATTTATTGTGAAGTATTACAAGAAATGTATATATATTTATCGTTAATTATCTCATTTACAGATTCTTGCACTCGGTCCACGGCGCTGAGGTAAACATTTCGGTATTTTCTATTTGTTTCCGCAATCGCCTTAAGCATATCCCCAGCTCCGAACATTTTATCAAACATGTGCGAATTACTAGAGATGTAAGACTATCGACAGCAATATCGATTAAGTCTAATATTGGTATTTTGCGAGATTATCGATAACATTTTAAGACCGATAAGCTATCTCTTGAACCACCTATAAGCAAGCCAGTGCTGTCCGCTTTCCTAATTCAACTTAAGCAAGCCAGTGCTGTCCGCTTTCCTAATTCAACTTCATATCTGACTACTGTTATAGTAAGTAGTAATAATAAAGAAACATGCATTTGCAAGTATTTTTAAACTGTTCTGAATTTAGTGTTTTAAATTCTACTTAATAATTCGAACTAGTTTTTAATTATCACACTTTGAAATTTGAACGTGCCTTAGCAGCCAAAGTGTTGTTTGGCGGAAAATCTTTAGCAAGTGACAAATTTAGCCTTTTTAGCATAGCCTTTATTTGGGCTCACATCACGCAAACGAAAAATCAAATGTAATTTTTGTGTTGTTATTTAAGACAAGAAGTCAAGCAGCTGTTTAAAAATTTCAAATAATAAATTGCAATAATTACTTCGATGTATTTTTTAGATAACATTTTTTAAATGCTAGACACCAATGCACAATATAATCATCATTAATATTATTTTATAATATATGATATTGTACACTACAAATGCAAAAGAAAATATGAATAGATTTGAATTAAGCAAAGTAGTTAAGAATGTATGCAACCCTAGTAGCCAGTCGACTGTATGGCTACTAAATGATTACGCCTGATTTTAGACTAGCGATCAAACAGATTGGCGTTTTGGTCTGCTGTAATGAAGCGCAGCACATCGATAAGCAAAATTTGCGATTTCCGGAGAAATTCAAAACGGAAGCGCAAGCTCTTGATGAAAAATTCATAACAAAATAAGAGAAGAATGCCAACTCCATAAAAATGTATGCAAAACAGCTTGCCAAACTTTTAACAGGGAAAATACAAGAAACGTGAAATCCACACGAAAGTGGATTGTTTTAACTGATATTATAAGGGTCTACATAAAACAAACAACATTTTGATTCAGTTATTCGTGTGGAATTTAAAAAGGAAAGTAACTAAAACTCGCATATGTAGGTTTTTATGTCATCAATAAATAATCCGATTCGAATATGTGTCTTTTAGCTAATCCTAATGCTCAGCTGCTTGGTAATCAATCTGACGATAAATTATTATTCAATAGTGCAATCATGATATAATAATGGACGCTGTTGTAAACAAAATCATAAATACTCGGATACTTACAAAACATGTGGATAACTTATATGACATATTAAGGAGGACGAAAGCGACCAGTTATTTGAAACAATCATTTGAAATTGAGTAGGTATCCTAAAACCAAACCAAACCATATTTAAAACATACGTTGAACGTGCCGATAATAGCCAAAAACTTCATAAGAAAAGTACAATTAAAAAAAAATATTTTTTTTTTTTTTCGTAAATTGCCAATAACGAACAAAAAATAAAAAAATTAAGAATAATATATACCTATCTTCCCGGACAAACTTGCCACATCGTACTGCTACTACAGAGGCACCACTACCATACCTCGTAGACTCCTTTACATCATTAAAACATTTAAAAAGATCAACGTATACGACAAGTCATGTGTTGAGACGACAAAATCAAAGTAAAAACACGACAGGTCACAAAACAGGAATTAAAGGAAGAAATGAGCATTATGGCAAAAGGTTCAGATGTGAAATGATGCACATAATAAATACAAACACACATTTTAGATTAAACCTCAATACAGATGAATGACTACATTGAAATTAGACAATCCCCGGATGTATCAATAAGTGTTTTATGCTAAAAATATAAATGTTAATTGTGTGTCATTTTTGTACAGTTCTGAAAATGTTGACGGGGTTTGAAATATATTCGAGTAAAAATGAAAAAATTTGATATGGAGGCAGCCAAAAACATAATTAAATTATTTAATAAAAAATATATCGAATTTTGATTTTTTTTTTTATATTAGCAATTTAAATTTGAACTATTTAATTTCCAAATCTCCAAAAATATGCCTCATCTTGGATTTTTTTAAAAGTATATCTTAGGTATTTTCTGAAAAAATTTTTTTAAGTTCCACAAACGAAATAAATTACATATTCTGGTTTCCACATTGATTTTCGTTCTTCGTGAATAGTTTCAAATAATGCCTATTAACATTCTAAAAGTACAAGCCAGACTATTTTGGAAAATAGACAACAAAATTATTATAATTAATCAATAAATAAATATTATGGGTTACTATTTAATTCTTACAATTCTTATTACTTTCTTAACATTTAAACTATTGCTTTTCATACAAAATATAATTATAAACTGCCTGAAGCAAATCCATTGGCGAGATTCTAATCTGGCACCTTTAATTACAAAATATCTTAGATATTTTCAGAAAACTAATATTGCTTAAAACCAATAATAGTAACTTTCTACAATTTGAGTTTCACAATGCTTTTAGAATATATGCAATTAATATGACCAGCGTACCTTCCATTGTTGTATAAGGGTGACCCTAGGTCTTTAATTGGGTCGGCATTTTTTTAGGATTTTCGTGTTATCATCGCGTGACAGCAGTCAGCTGACAGTTTTTCTAAGTCTGTGGTTAAAATATTTGCTGCGTGAAAAGTTTCCATAAACGTCGAAAACAATGGCTTTACATTCGGCAATAAAGGGCAAATTAATATCAGTCATAGGCGATGAGGTGAGCTAAATCTATATTTTTGGTGCCACACAATTCATTTGTTTGAAACTAATGAAATTTCTTATGAATGTGTACACATTTGTCTGTATGTATGTGTGTGTGTCTGAAGTTAAAATGAGTTGTGCATATAAAAAAATACTTAAATACTGCATTAACTCATATATATTATTTCTTTATGTACATATTGATCTGGTTAATATGTATTTATTATCTCCACATACATACAAAAATCTACAGATGCGTGTAAAATCATAAGTCAAATTTTCAAGCTCTGCGTCAGGCTTGTATTAATTAAAGATAATTGATTAAAGATACAAAATTTAAATACTTTGAAGTCGGACGTAAAAGTCATCGTAATATGTACTCTGATTCCAGAGTAGCATCAGCGGATACCTTCGATGTCACAGTTCCTATGATATGAAGGCTCCACGAATGAATAGGAGCACACATAGCATTAATGAGTTTGGTTTGGATAACTTGACAAAAAAAGCTTTCAGACAAGAACTCATAATTCAACTAATTGTTCAAATATCAGCTTTATGATATAGTAATCCTATATGGCCGGCTCTGACATATATTCTGACTGCAGCAAATAGTCGGTATACATAAAGTTCTATCAAAATAGCTCCCAAAAAGGAAGACTAGTTTGTATCGAAACGCGTAGATTAAGATTATTTTATGTTCCGATAGTCAAAAAGTCCATATTTTAAATGTATATCCTTCCAATTGATATTCAAATTATAAAATAAGATCGAATAAGATATATCCTAGTTATGGTCAAAAAATCTAAACGTATATTATAGAAATTCCTATTTTATGGAAAACTTTTTTATGGTATTCGGTTATGTATTGATACCCTGATTTTTACTGTACGCTAGTGACACGGTTCCGGTAAACTTTCAGTTTTCGTGCACCTGTAGAGGTTTTTCTTTTTAATTTGCAACGTATTAAAAGATATGTCACCGGTCCCTTAAGGTATATACATTCTTGATCAGCATCACTAAGGAAGTCAATATTGATAAAACTTGGTAAATATCAGTCTTTTTGAAGGCAGTCCATAGGTCGGATATAACCGAATCGGATCATATATGATGATCATCAAGCGCATTTTAGAGACAATAAGAGTGAGAGACAAACTTTGTATATAAGTTCTCATATTTATCTCGTCCGTTACGAAGTTTTGGTTCCGTTTCGTTCCGTCTTTTCGCGACCGATTCTGTTCTATTCCTTGGAAATAATATATATGCGTAGATTTTCGAAATAATTCCTGCAAAGTGGACTTATGTACTCTGCAATGACTTATAGTATAGAAAAGATTTACGTTTTGGACTGACGGTCTCAATCAAAAATCTTTGGAACGGTGTTCGGGTTATCATGGAATCATGTTAGTAAACATGATTAATTCGTACAATCTAGGTCTAGTGTGGGTGTCAGTTGAAATTCTTTACAAACGGATAAATGTCAAAAATGTAAAGCAGCTGTTAAAAATTCTGGACAAATTACTAATTACTAAATAATAATGAATTTTTCATCAAAAATTTTCTCGCACGAAATCTTCCTCAAAATGTTGTTATAATATTTCTAAAACTTAAATACTGGTTATAAAATATTTTTCTGTATTAATTAAATAACTAAATAGTGTGAGAAATGCCGTTGATTCATTACTATAATAATGTACAAAATTCAATATTTTATCTGTGAATCTCAGTTGTGCTATTTATATGTCCATAACTATAATAATAATAATAATAATAATAATAATAATAATAATAATAATAATAGTAATAATAATAACAATAATAATAATAATTACAATGATAATAATAATAATAATAATAATAATAAAATAATAATATTTACTGGTAATAATGATGTATGTTTTTAATAATTATTTTTTTTTTAGGACACTTGCGTCGGTTTTCTTCTGGGTGGAGTTGGTGAAATAAACAAAAATCGTCACCCGAATTTTATGGTAGTTGACAAGAGTAAGTAATTCGAAATGGACATAATTAATTGTTTATTTAAGATCACAAACTAAATTATGTTGCTTCGCTAAATTTGCAAAATGCAAATTTGTACATATATACCTCAAAAAGGGCCACATTTAATGTTTAATGGAAAATATAGTCTGTAGACTGAAGTATTATTAACTCAACTGATATGTCGTCTTATACACATTTAAAATTTTTAAATTATTTATCTAAAGAGTTTAAGACTAGCATATTTCCGCGACTTTGCTTCTGCTTCAGGGTACCACAGAATCATGCGCTTCGAAATAAATCAGCAGCACCTTCATACGGCTTCATATCGGATTAAAGGGTACTTTTTGTTATAAAATGTATACTAATGAAAGAAATTTTTTCCATATAGATACTGCTGTCAGCGAAATTGAAGATTGCTTTAAGCGTTTTTTAAAACGTGATGATATCGACATTATCTTGATAAATCAAACATATGCTGAGCTCATTCGTCATGTTATTGATGCACACACTTCACCAGTACCAGCAGTTCTTGAAATCCCATCAAAGGATCATCCGTACGATGCCAGTAAGGATTCCATCTTAAGACGTGCACGTGTAAGTTTAATTTTTGCTTATTTTGTATTTTCTTTCCAATGGTCAATTTTGTATTTTATATTTTTAGGGTATGTTTAATCCCGAAGATTTGGTACGCTAAAGATGTCAGATTATTACTGAGCTCTTTGTCAATGTTATACAATACATTTAACTAAAGTATTTTTCAAAAACTGTTAACAAATTAGTATTTCAGTTCATGTTGTTTTTTTCTTAATTAAAAATAAAATAAAAACAAAGGCAAAATAATATTTTTTGCAGTTTCCAACATTCAAGACTTTTGAAATACACACATTGTAAAACCAGACAAAACTCGGGCTTAACCGACTCCAATACCAATAAGTGCCACAGAAAATAATAATATACCCTGCAAGTTTGTCTTTAAAATTGCGGGTAATACGATCTTTTACCGTTTTTGGGGTCTGGAGTGTGCGTTTTAATTCATGGAGTCCCTTGTCAAGCTCCGCATTTAAATTGCCGCGATTGAACTTGATGTTGCTTAACATGTTGATGTTGGCTCCCCAACTCATTTTTTTCACAGCTCTTTTGCTCCTTCATATCGACTTATATGCAGATTCCTCTCAAATTTAACACAAATGCATCTGGTCTATTAGCAATAACCTTTACCCCAGTGATAATTTTCCAATTACAATGCATTCCCATCCAAAACTGTCTGGTAAAAACAACACCATTACTGAAATAGAAAACAGGTCTAGCAAAATAAGTAAGAAGTCATATCACCATTTTGGCAACTGATTTTATCGCATCGGAATCCGTGCGGTAATTTACCGACTCGAACTCTAGGGTGATGGTCCCAAAATAGACAAAGTATGATTTAAGACATAATAATTGTAATAAAGCTAAAGTATGCTACTTTAAGATATCTTTGACTCAAAATTCAGATTTAAAAAGCACTGCCACAATTTAATAAAACAGTTAGATATTATCTCTAAGAATTTTTTTTAGTCTGTTTAGTGATATTAGGCAAATAATAATTATTATTAAACATTATAAAATTCCTGAGCTCTGAGTTTAGTAACATTCACACCACCACCCTTATAAACAACACCTATCCCTACTACTCTCCGAAATCGGCTATGGTCTACGGCTGGTTCACTGCTTACCACGCTTATTTTAGTCGGGTAATGAACGCGTTTCCCGAATTCCCAATTAGGTGCATTTTGGTCTACCTACCATCACGTAAAGAAGTTTTTACAGCGTAAGATATGGCAATACTCGACGCATGCACTTTCGCAAGCAATAACAGGGGTAAGTTTGCCATTTGCACAGATCATCATCCATCTCAGCTTTGATGAACCCCTTCCACACGGATCGTATAATATTATAAAAATATTAGAAAAGATCGGAAAATAACTTTATTTTTTGAACCAGGTTATAAAAGAATTGTCAACATTTTGAACGCTGACTGCTGTGCTCGGAACGTGCAGTCTGCACCCATTCACCACTTCACAACAAGTGACATACAGGAAATAAATTATATGAAGGGAGTTCAATCACAGGTACTCCACCACTGCAATAAAATCATCGAAGTCCATGATGAAAAATCTGAAGCATCTTCTCTCCGGTGAGCCGCCAGCCCACTACCACCACTGTTCCCAAACCTGCACAATTGATTAAATTATGAGAAGTCTACAGAAGTTTAGTACGTAGTCGCGACGAGTAGAGGCGATCAGTCGAATGAAATGTTTACTTATCAAATAGAAGTACAACATAAAGACAATTGGACTAAGGCTGTCGTAAAAAGCAGATCACGCAAATATAGAATATGTGGTTTCTCACACATGCACTCACATATCATCATAGCGTATTACAAGCATATACATGTATGTATATTGTGTGACTCTTGTTGTTATCGGATATCGCTACTAAAAAATATTAGACAAATTCGCTCTGTCACCAGTGACCAGAAAAGAGAATGTGGACTAAATAATTTCAATTGTCATTCTCTCTGGATCAAGGTATAACTTTATACGTCGCAAGGATTCAAACGATCTCTGAGAGAATGGGTAACCATTATAGATCTGAAGACCGAATCGACCAATCAGTTTTGGGTTTTTCTCCTAAAATTTAAAAGTAGAGTCATTTGGATGGTAGATTGCTGGTGATTTCCCTTCATGATGGAAATCGAATACTTATATTTTGAAGGTAGATTACCAGTAATTAAGAGTCGATAAAATATTTTATGACCATGCCCACTCCTCAAATATCGAGCAGACCACATGACACACAATTTAAAGGCTAAAGTCAAAAAATTTGAAAGTTTATTACTGTTAACACCATTCAAAAAGCGGTATAGTTGAGTTCGTCCCCACGAAACGCAAAATGCCATATTTCCCGATATGTTATGAGCTGGCATTACCAGTGTCGGCAAGCTCCGACTCCAGCGCTCTTAATTGTTTTTTTTTTATTTATTTAATGCTGTTGCGCATCGAATGCAAGTTTTTGTGACTTTTTCACAAACCTGACAAACATTCCGTTAGCGTTTCTATTTTAAATTTAAGTTCGGCGCACTTCCTAGGTGCCATCATATGTGATCTACATTTTTGGATACCTCATATAATATTTGATGCCAGTAATGCTTCCAGTTTTCCAGCAACGGTAGTTGAATTAGACTTACTATAAACTTTGTCGCTTCCATTTGACTTATAACCCTCTCTCTCTCTCCCTCTGCTCAGTCCAACTATTACTTATTTTCTGGAAACTTTGCGCATCTGTGGGATATAAATCTTCTCTTACAGGTTCAGTAAGCTAACACACTCGTTTTCCTATTCGTTTCTTCTTTAATTTTGAATTTCATAAAACATACTTATTTGTCTTTTTTTTATAATATCTTTCTTTTAATTTATATCTTTCGATCCATTTTTTCTCTTTTTATATATTAGTATTTATAGAAATTTAAAAATTAAATTTTTATTATATTATATTTAATCTCAAGCTTTTGGCATTATTTTCATTATTTAATTGAAATAGAAAATATTTGCTACAATGCTCTCAATCATACATTTAAAGATTTAATATATGTGTACATTACTGACATACATTTCACTACTCCAGAATACTTTGCCGCGTTTGCCGCATGCGCAAGACCTACCATATTTTGTAAATGGCCGAAAGCAACCACCTATGCAATGCACAACCTGAAAAATCCTGAATTTCTATTGTATCTATGCATATGTTTTTGATTTTATTTTTTAAATTAATAATTAATGGAAATATGCTTAAGTGTGTATACAAAAGGTTTGCATTCATAACGGTTTGAAAAATGTTCTATGTATGTTTCGCATATGTATATTTGCCATCACTATATTAAGAACAGCTGTTTTTTGGGGATGATTTTTTGCATTCCATGACTCTCATTGCAGAAATCTGTGCTAACACATGAGGCAGAGCGAAGCAAGTTCTCATTATCTATGTCACATAGTTCTCTAAGATTACTCAACGTATTTTATATGCTTAGGGCGGGTTAATTTTGTTTACAATAAAAATGAATGTGTTTTACAAGTTATATAAGATTTTGAAATAAATGGGAATGAAATTTCGACGCTGAAAAAGTTAACACATTGCAAATATCTACGATAAGTGTGAGTGCAATTTCGTGAACTTTCACACACATATATACACAAAATAATGTACACATACTAAATGTGAAAGAACTAAAAAAAAGAAAGTTTAACATATTATGTTATTAATTGCAAATAAGTTGCATATGCCGCTAGAAAAATATATAATACTATAACAACACACGTCCAGAAATCGTTTTCACATATACAAACACACTTCCAAACATTTATACGTAAGTATATTGGCATATTACTTTGAATGATTTTGCATAAGTATCAACCAATTCGCTTCTTATTATACACCTTTACACATGTGTTGGCATATACTAACCTATTTAGTAGTTATCTCATCCTCTTTCATTTCTAAATATTATGTTTGAATAAAAGTTGTAACAAATTATAACAATTTAAAGATAGATATACGAACTATCATATTACGCTGTGACCATTTTTTCGAATCATAAGCAATGTAGTAATAGATGTTGCAACTCGTTCAAGGAACTAACTGGGTGGTTGGTGAGTCTATCAATATAAACCTTATGTAAAATGTGGTTAGGTAAAAAACTTTGCTTTGTAATTATACATTGGCTGTGTTTTTTCGTGAACGTCGCCAGCAATATGGAAATAAAACGTAAAATATTTGCGCCAACATTATTGCAAAAAAAAAAACGAGTGTTTTTATCGCTTTACATTTTGAAGCTTGATTAACATACTTGCAAACTGTAGCGATGCCACGCAAGAATAAGTATATCGCATTTATGTTGCATATCTAAGCACCTTGACATATGTCCTTTTATACTCATTACGCTTTACTATGATTATTTTTGTGACTCCAATGCAGCTAATATCATTTGCAGTGACGTCCCCACCACTAAGCATCTGAAGGTTTACAGCGCTACTTTTTTCTATCGTGTGATATTCCCAGTGAGTTGAAATTAAGTTTACGCTATATGCGCTAAAACAGAATTTAATTTTTTTATTTTTTTTATATATATTTTAATATATAAATATTTATATATATATATATATATATATATATATATATATATATATTTTAAAGATATTTTTATGTTCATAATTGTATCCAAATTTCATCAACATTATGTTTGTTTAAAAGATTCAGAGAACAAAGGACTATAAATATTATATTCTCATTTCTTATGCATTCTGATGTCACTAAATAATCAACGAGAACATTTGATGAGTATAATCTAGCCTCCAAATAAGCTGTATAAATGTTATGGATATTTTTCATACTCAATATATTGGATTATTGCTTAATTTCAGTATAACTACTGAGCAGACAATATATGTTATGTTATATGCTTAGTGGTATAAATCAATTCAGCGATCGGCAACGACGTAAAACCGTAAAGAATACGGTACGAAATGTATAAACATTTTCTAAGGTATGTGATTACGTTTTCATACCTTGACTGTGCTTTGGCGATACTGATACATAATGGTACAATATAAAAGTATGGAAAAAATAAGTAAGAAAATTCAATTTGGGTGTAACTGACTCTCCGGCCCCATATATAAATCGTGATTGGCATCACTAGCCGAGTCCATCTAGACTTGTCATTCAGTTTCTAGGCCTGTATGAAAGACTATAATAACTAGAGATTTCAAGTTGGGAACCGTATAGCAGCCAACCAACGGTAATGATGATCCGCTAAGATCTTTTGGGTACAATATGGTCTTTACGGTCAGTTTCGGTATTTCTAGGCTCTTATTCCGATGCCGTTTGTTGAATTTCAACCCGTAAATATGCGGTTCACATTCAGATTCCGATTCCAATTATTAGTTATAAATCTAAGCAATAGTGAGAATTGCACCTAGATGATTTTGCAAACCAGTTTAATATAATTTAATTTTTTAACTTATTACTAATTTTGTGCAGAATTCGAAAGGACCTTGTGCTTTTAGTTAGGAGTTATGTTGTTTCAGTAAACGATTTATCCAATACATTTGAATTAAATGGCTGCTGGAGCTTAGGCGTGTACTCATAAATAAAAGAATATTATTTATAAAGCTATAAGCAGATTGATATCTTTACTAGTAATGAATTTTACTAAGTTGATGTTTTTGAAACCAGGTTCATTAAACAGACAGCTTAGATCTAATGAAAATCATTGATTTAATTCATAAAACAAGATTAGCCATAACATTATTTTATCGATAATTAAAGGCGGCTACCGGTAATATATAGCCAAAATTTAATGGCTCTAACTCAAAAAACATTTCCGAATTTTTGCGGCGATAGCCTGGGGGCGGTGAAGGTCGGCGTGGCCGATCCGTTCCCACCAACAACTTACGATTTGCGATGATCGATTTTATCGATTTCCTAGCCTTCTAGAGGACGTAGCATCCCAATTTAAAAACTCTGTCTGACAGAGGTACAGACAAGTATGTCTTTCAAGGCTCTAGCTTTAATGTTGAGTAAAAAATTTGCGTTCATAAGGACAGACATCATGATGGACACTGCACAAATCAAACATTCTTTTGTAACTGCGGTATCAGAGTATAAAAATTAAAAATGTACGATTAGTGTATATGTAATAGTTGAAGAATTTATGAACTATTTGTCTACGTTTACTAACGTATATTAAAGCACTATGGAATCGCCGCACCCAGTTTGATTGCTCTTATACATTTTTAGTGTATTTTAGATTTTGAATATATCTTTATTACTTCAAGAGATATAATTTTGGCAACGGAATTAGTCAGCTGGCCCTACTGTTTAGCGCATATTCGTCTACTCCTCTTCCCCACAAGCCAATAGATAAGTGGGAAAACTTTATAAGCTAAATGGATCGTGTAAATATGGATTATTATTATTATTCTTGTTTCGCAAAAATTTTCCCATGTTCAAAAAGAAGTCTCCGAAGTGTATTTCTCGCACAAAAACCTACAAAATTAAATTCATTAAATTTAAATAGTTGAACGGATAATAAACAAAGACATACCAAAGTTGGTCCTACAACAGGAGGAACAAAATTTCCGAAATTCCGTGCTTACTTATATTATCTACGTTAATTGTCAATTGCCTGAACAGTCTGACGCAGCACTAGTGTTCTGCTGGATAGTAAAATAAAACTATTTCAATTTATTTTACTACTTTGAAAAAGGTGAGGCTTAACAATATTAATTGTCGATTGATAGTTAAGATCGGGCACCATCTGCGCCAATAATCCCTCATGTGAATGTTCTTGTTTCATAATTTGAATGCATTAAACAATATACACTTGTTTTTAAACAAACTTACTTTGTGATTCTTATTAATAAATATTAAAATTTGTATACTTTATAGGTGAAAATAAAAATATATAAAGAAATCTGAAGCCCATTTTATGAGCGCCTGCAATGAAGTTAACATCTCAAGAAAGCATAAAAGCTTGGATACTATCAGCTTTGATGGTACACGGCGCAGTTGCTGGCAATCCGGATGCTAAGCGACTGTACGATGATCTTCTGAGTAACTACAACAAACTAGTCCGCCCAGTTGTTAATACTACAGATGTACTCAAAGTGTGCATTAAGCTGAAACTTTCGCAACTTATTGACGTAGTGAGTATTCGATCTACAGATTGTATTTTATTTAAGAGGTGATACCTCTTCCAAAGGTTCTTAGGATCGCCAGAAAGCGATAAGTAAAAATTAAGCGTGTTGGTTTTATATATTGCGGTTAGTTCGAATATATAATGATATAATGAAGGACCAATAGCAATAAATTGGTTGAGCGTGAAATCAAGGGCAATGGGAATCTGTTATAAAACGGCAAGAGCTTAATGAATATTTTTTTCAATGGATAATAAAATAAAACATGCAATACTACAAACATGAATAAAGCACTCTCTCTCTCTCTAATTGTCAAAATCGCTTACTCGCGGAATAGAAATTCGCGCCAAACTACAATAACAACAACAAGAAAATCACAATTTTTACTTTTCGTTCGTGTCATCAGGTGAGATTCAATTCTTCTAAATAGCTTCAAGTTATGGAGCCAGCTTACTACATTACTACTCTCCTATGCAATCGACGTGAACAGTTTCCTTGTCTTCAATAACTTGCTGGGCTATGCAAATGTGAACTCGAATATATAGAGGTTATATTTTCCATGTCTGAGAAATTCTATTGATATTGTATATAGAAATCAGAATAGAGATCTTAATAGCAACCTAATGTCTGGCTTCGTAGAGCTCCATCTTTCACTAAAGCTTATTTTCGTGAGAATCACGGTGGTAATGTAATGCAAATGAGGAATTTACATTTCGATGTATAAATTTTAATATCGCATTAAAGCACTGACAGATGAGACGATCGAACGAGATTTTATCGCCTTGTGTGAACATTTGTATATCCTTCTTACAACCAAGGCTAGGGACTGGTTTTGGAGGCACAATAAGCAGTTGGAATTTCGGTGTAAAGAGCAATTTATTCTCGAAAACAGGAAAACTCGAATGTTTTCCGTATATTCGTTATATGTATATATATGTTGTATGTGTATAAAATCAGGCTAAAACAGGAAAAAGGCCAGTTCAACGCAACTTTACTGGAAATATTTTCCAGATTCAAAGTAATCAAGGTAATCTCTAAAAATCATTTCTTGAATTCTGACGACTCTTCAAGGGATAGATTTATTGCAACAGGTGATTACAACGTCAAGCAATGCGCTGGGGGTCTCGCCTTTCAAATTCAAAAGGTAAGCAAGCTATCATTAAGCGCACCACCTGTACTTTGATATTTTTGGGTAGGCCCACATGCTTGCATCAGACCCAACAAATATACAGTATCCTATTGACTTCTCAATATAAGAAGAATCATGCGATCGACTGTAGCAGTCAGTAGTCTTCCACATGCTTTAAGAGCTGCATGCGCTTGAGCTTCTCCACTGGCACAACAAATGAACAAACTGGCTTATATCTTCAAAGAGTTCATTAGCACGTGCATTATATTAGTCGAGTAACTTAGCGAAGCACCGGCCATAAAATTCACTAAAGTCATGCATACTTGTCACATGAAACAGCAAAACAAACCGCTAAATTTAGCAGATAGCACTCAAAAAGCGAACTTTGCGACAGGACTGGCATAGGTGCAATGATTTCACTAATCGATTACATTCGATTTTTTTTGCCTGTACTCTAAAAACAATCATGCTGTTTGTTCATTCATTCAACACCTTTGCAGGGATCGCTTATTAACTGATTAATACACAACGATGGTTAGCACACCCGACCCTTTTTATGATAACTACAACTATTTAGCTTTACCCGCATTACAACACATTTTCTCCGGCATAGCAACGAAAATTGGTCAGTTGAATTGCTTTACAATTAGTTTGTGCATACCGCACGGACTACATCCCTTTCTTATTTATTCCCGTAACTATAGATTACTTTGCGAGGGGAAACCCAATACATTTTTGTTTTCACTTGTTATGGACCGGACAATGACAGAGAAAGTAATGAATCGATTCCTCTTCTTTCTCATGGCAACATAGTCTGGTTGAGTGTAGCTCGAAACACTGCAGTGCAGTTGCTCCTACTCGGCTTTTATAACTGTTTGAAACGTTTTTTCGAACGGCAAGGCCACATTAAACGCCAAATTTACTGATAGTCGTTTTCTAGCGGCAAAAACCCGACCAAATACAGATTTACTGTCTGAATTCAATGGTTAGTAATAGTGGAAGTGACTCCCTGATCGCTGATACTCCTGCTTGGAATACTACAATAATTAGGGAGTCTGTAGTGATAATTTAAATTCAAATATACCATACCTTACACTTACTTTGTGGTCTCTATTCCTATTTAGTGATTCCAATTTTGAGGGCGGAAACATTGAAGGGATTATTTTGAAATTCTGAAGGAACTGTTAATCGGTTCTGCTTGGGAGCTTTAAATCTTCTTAAATTTTTCGGGGAGACTTTGGTAGAATAATGTTTTTTTTTGGATCGTAATTTTATTGGATTTAGTTTTGAACGGAGAAGGAAAATTTTTCTAATACCTATTAAAAAGCGATACTATTCAGATATGTACAAGAAGCAGGCGTAAGGTTATGTACCTTTGACGATTTTTAATGCCGAATGTTGGTAACCCTCATTACAAACTAAATCAAAAGTAGAATCATCGCGTTTGTTGGTGCTACCTCAGTGATAGTGATGCTCGTTTACATGCTATTAAACGCCGATGTCATATAAGCTGAGCTGAGCCTTGGGGAACATTCTTTACATTCCAGGCTCCACGCTTCCACGTTGAATTCGATACTGAAATAGGGAAGCTAAAGGAGATGCAGATCTTTATGTGCGGGCATATAAAAAAAGTAAGAGAAATGTTAAACCAATTTTGTAACTAGAATTTTATTGCTCTGTGAGAAAGCTTAGAATAAAAGAAAGAGATATGTAAAGGCTAGTTCTAGCGATAAAGATAATGCATATTCAAAAATACTCTCTCGTTTCGGCCGATGTTTGGCGCCGATTAAAATACCTTTAAGTGGTGATACTACTCTAACAATGGGTCAGAGAATTTTAAGAAATTGCATCTGTGGTGGGAAGTGAATAAACCAAGGGCGAGATAAAAAGGAAAATATGTGTTACAAGGACTCACGGTGCAGAGGGGCACACTTCAGATAAGTGCGGAAATAGGAGAGGTGGAAAGCAATGCTGTAAGTGCAACAATTCTGGTCACATATCAGGACACTGCGTGAAATGAGATATTGATCTGCAGAAACAGATTAGTGAGATCCAAGGCGATATCTACCTACTACCTAAACTGGAGGCAATCAGTGTAGCTGACTGCAAGCGCGATTAGCCACAAATTCTGCAGACTTGAGCGAGCAAATTTCATTTGTCATGTGGACGTGTCTGTCATTGACGGAAAAGAATAGCTTTCACCGAAACGCGTAGACTACAGATGTAAAGCTCATAGGCTAATCGACTTTATTTACTTTTAAGGATAGTGAGCTGGAAGGAAGAAACATGCAATTGATATCAGATAAAGGACTAAGCTGGAAGCAAATTGCAGAAAAGGCATTGCCAAGCCGGAAGGAAGCTCAAAATATGATATAATTATACCAGCCAGAATCGAAAACAGTACTGTATACAATCTTATCGGAAGAAGAATGATAAAAATAACAGGAAAAGAAGAATCAAGACAAACGGGAAAATAAACGGAAAGAACGATTCGATTGTACGCGACTGGGGTAGTGGTCTCTCATACGAACATGCATAAGACAATGGCGAATACAAAGTAGGATAACCGAGATGTAGGATTGGGGTAGTCATAGAGATGTACGCCATATTAGACACACAAATATTGTATATCGATTTCGTATCTAAATCACATTTTCCAGTAACTTAAATAATACTAAAGTCTGACTAGTTCTTATTTTGCAAGCACTAGACCTTAGTCCCACATATGTTCTTAACTGTTAAGATATTAATTGCACACTAACATTATTTCGACTGCAACGATCTTAATGTTTAATTGGTCAAATAAAATTTATCTGCATTCGCTTACAGAATAAACCATTTCCTTGATCTAATACATTAATTTTCTATACATATTAAATACTTTGCCTTTTAACATAGCATTTTCTTTTAAATTCCAGAATCTTAAAAACCAGATTATGACTACAAATTTATGGGTTGAACAGGTAACAACATGATAATAAAATCGTTTTATTCTTTGTTCTTTTTTCATTAGTGCATATAAAACAATTAACATGGTACAAATTTAATATGATAATTTTTATAAATATACACAAAAAAAACTTATTACTAAGCATAACTAAACTTAGATGTTAATGGGATTTCCATTATTGCCCTGTCCAATAATCTTTTAATCAGGTTGCATTTGTTTTTTGTGAAAAGCTCGTTCGATTGAATTGCTAATTTGAAATGTGGATTACTATTATTAACCTTCAGGAAACTTCAAAAATAAGTATTCCAGGTACAACTGCTTCTGTAAAGCGTAAAATCTCATAATTTGTAAGCCAGTGCTATCAATCTTAGATGAATGATCACTAGTATTTTTTGTGGACTACTAGACATTTACAGTCCATGCTCCAACTTTCCCCGTCCCACAAATCGTCTAAGTTTGAAAGGTACTATTACCACTGCCCATCAACAAACGCATCAGCCGTCAGACCCACAGGAAGTCTCTTCTCTACCTGATAGCAGATCTTATTATGCTGTTATTATGCTGTTATTTTGTGCTCACTATGTTAATACAGCGAAAGCTCAGCTGACAGATTTGATTCACACTACTGATTTAAGGGGAAGTTTTCAAGAATGCAGATTGTTGGGAGGTATATCACATTATGGTCTTAAAAAGCTTCAACAGTCGTGTCGTTCTAGTTATGTCCGACTACCTGTCTGCACAGTTTATATTTTTAAAAACGTTGAACATTGAAAATATAATGGAAAAGAATGGAAGAATTGAATAAAGCATCTCCGACCCCACACAGATCTCGAAGTCTATAAGTGCCAGGGACCTCAAGTTTGGAACATAAGCTTTTTGTCTGTGCACCGCCACCAGTTGGGTTTATTTCTCGCATCTAGGATTTCTCCAGTGTATTTTACTTTCCCTGGAATTGGTAACATTGTTTTCCCATTCCATATGGTTTCTGCTGAAACTAAATTCAGCCCAATTCTAGTGTGTTTACTCAAATGGATTTGACGAAAGTTTCCTCCTCTAAGAAGCAGTCCACCAACCTGCTGCTAACGCTGCTGTTAGCACCATTCTTATCCAAGCTTTCCTGTGCAGGAGAAAGTTGGGGTCTTGTTTCCTGGGCGACACCCACGAAGGGGATTAGTTTCGGATTTGTGACTTCTGCTTGGAATATGCATGCTTTGTATACAGAAAGTACTTGTGCCTGTAGAGAGAAATGAGATCAATATGATAATATATTTGGACTATAACTGGGTGCTTCCAATGCGATCTTGATGAAATTTGTGCAGTACATCAATAATATGCATATGCAAACGTGAGTCGTTGGCATGTAAATAACATGACTAACAGTTTAATAAACTGGGAAGCAACTTTTTGTCACTTGCCGCGGTAAAAGGTAATTTAAATATTTACAATGAAAGCAGAATTCATCCAGACTGTCAGGTAGTATTATCTTACCAAAGGTTAAGTTCGAAAAACTTTCATATCGCCATCATATCCGCTACCTCGATGTAGGTGAATTTATTGTTAGAAAAAGTTACTATTTGGAGGTGTCTTTATGAGAACATGCCCCACAGCAATTGGGAAAGCTTAACTGTTCCATAAACTCTTTCGAGTTTTTAAACATGCCCAACTTTTCGGCAATTTCCCGCTCAGGCTTGTGCAAATGTGCATTACATACACAGTCTATGGTTACGCCCATATGCTACTTGCTTTATATATGGTTTTCACTGATCAAAAAAACTTCATTATAAATAGGCATTGATATGAACTACCCTAGTCCTGATAATTAACAATCAGAGATTTATACACTGCTTTTAATTTTATTTTGTTTTAAATATTAGCAACTCAACATAACATAAATATTTTCTTCTTTGTTCTTATAGTCATGGTATGACTACAAATTACGATGGGAACCCAAAGAATATGGAGGTGTTCATATGTTACACGTTCCTTCTGATCACATTTGGAGGCCGGATATTGTGCTTTATAATAAGTAAGTAACGAATTAGCTGTTTCAACATCGGTTATTATAAATAAACGGCTGTTGGATATGTACTCCATATAAACTAGTTAGCTTTCGTCTAAGCTATCTAGCTGACCAAAACAAAGGAGTTACGCTACTTAATTACAGGACACAGAGGTTGGAACTTCGTAAGAATAGCATTTATAAAGTTCATTTACTATACATCTGCATTGTACGAAGCTACAATATAAGTATTTATATGTTTTGATTTAGGCACAATGTTTCTTTACTTTAACAGTAAGGTACAGCTTTTTTTTTTAACGTGACAATTACCTATTTGTTCTCTTTATATCTTAAGCCCTAAGAATGTGAGAAGTAAAGATTGAGAAGATAGGGTTAATTTAATTACACTATATAGGAACAAATAATGTATTTGTTTTCCGGTCCTTTGGAAAATAAAAAAATAATTATTATTTATTAAATTTAAAAAAAATGTGAAATTACCACTTCCATCCTGGCAGGACAAATTCTTTACTATCCTAACTTTTATCAATTACATTTTTATACAAAGCTCAATAAAATCTTTGTTTTGTTTATTGTTTAGAATATAAAATATATTTCCTGAGTATTATTTATGGGTCACAAAATAAATATTATTTTCATCGGGTATATACAAGTTATTCGATCAATTTGTATTTAATTAATTATATTTATTTATAAAACTTGTTGCGAATACTCTGATACCAGTGTTGTACCAGCTCAGTACAGATGGCAAAAAACCTTCTTGTGGGGTGGCGTGATGGGTGTGACCGGTGCCGATCTTTAAAGCATGACGACAACAAGATGCTAACTAAATGTTGTGACTTTATCTTTGCAATTTTAAAGAGATATGTGGTTTCGCGATTGGCACCAAAATTTTAAATTTATGTTCAATTATGGATACTGAATACTAATACTATATGCAACACAATTAAATCAATTAAATCAAATACCAACCTTACTAAAATACCAACTAATTAAAAATACTAAACTTTACTTTTTAAATTTGATCTTTAATATTTTGTGTATCGAATTTTGTAGTATATTTTCGGGTGTTATATTTACAACTTTTTTTTTTGTTATTTTTATTACCATGATATATTTTATATATAATATTTTCAAGAACTGTTAACTATTATTTCGATCATAAAATAAAACTCGTTAAATAGCTTTTATTTTCTGAGAACAAAATAAAACTGAAGAAATAATAAGTTTTTCTGAGAAATAAATAAAAATGAGTACATTGAAAAATTATTATGGACTGTTCGCGAATCGTAAAAAGCTGTTCTGTTCTTTTCAGTAAAAAAAATATCAGATTGTCCAATAGGAGTTAAGCCTTTAGAAAGTGTAAGCTACAATAACTTTTACCTCTTTCCTTAAGCGTTTATCTTCAGGGTATTTCAAGCATTATTTGCATCTTTTGATAACATAATATCCTTAGCCTTATGTTGATAAGACTTGGAATTAATCATTACTTTTCCTACACGTCAAAATTGGCGGCATTTCACCATTACATCATAAAGCTGCCATTCGACTATTGTTGAAAACATAATTCCGTATAAAAAGAATTGCATACCCTAAACCCATTATAATATTGAATATATATTGGGCTAAACTTTGTTTCCGATATATTATAAATATTTAATCAGCATCAGAAGCCGATTCAGTGTAGCAGTCTGTCTATGAACCAGCCGATATCAGGGCTGGCATATAAGTACTCGTTTACCATATGCAGCTGAAGTTTATTTCTTTTTATCGATAACTACTATGTAACAACTGTCTAGTCAAGCTGTTTCATTTATCTATATACCAAAAACAAACACACGAAATATAATAATCATCATACACTATGATAGAAAAAAAAGATTAAAATAGGACTACTATTTCGAATAAATTCGGCCAGGTAGATTATTTGTATTTGTGTGGGTGTCCAATATTAAGTATTGCATCAGGATATCACACAAGAATTAATTCTTATTTTATAATTAAGTTCTTTTATAACATTTACTTCATTAAAATACTATTTTATTAATAAATAATTATTTTTATTAATGTAGAAACAGAGCATTGCGATCTCTTTGTTCTATTGAACCTCTCACTTGTAAATGAGTTAAAGCTCGTGATCAAGACCAATCATGTGTAGAAATGCAGTGATTAGAGTTGGTCTTGGAGCCCCCATTAGGTTAGTATCAGTATGCAGATAATGTATTATCCGCTTAGTGCTATCACTTAGGGTGCAAGGCCCTAGCTAACAGAGCCTCAGCCTAATTATTGCCCGGCAATCTTCCAGAATCTCCGCAGTTGCAATCTATATTGCTCTGGTAGCGGCTAGGGGCTTGGAACAATGGTGGGTTTGGGTGGGTTGATTTGATTGATATTCAGCCCTGATATTAATATATCGTGCGTATAAGCAATTTTGTACATGAGGTAAATTGTCGTCAATACTTTATTGTTAATAGTTTAGTGAATCTACCTCTACGAATGCGAGGTATATAGGTTTTCACGATTTATGGAGGGGTGTAAAGATTTCTAATTTCTAAATTTGATGACTTTAGCTATAAAGCAGTGTGAGATTAAAGATTTCTTTTGCGCTTTATGAAATTACACTTTGATGTAATCGATTCCAACCCCCGCGGCCGTGGCTAGACAATCTTATCACTATGTACACGAATATATTTCAAGTTTGAAGTATTTCAAGGGCGTCAGAAAAACTACAGGCAGGTCCAAAATTTTTTCTTCTGGCATTCTAGCAAGTTATAGCTTTGACGCAGACTTGGTTGCCATTCAGTGCCCTCACCTCAAGAGGCATCCATTTTTCTTCGATGAACATCCTATGCAACTTTTTCCTCTCTAGGTTCGGGCGAAAATTCGATTAATGGCTCTGCCTTCATTAAATTGAAAGCTGTCCTAAGTTTGTCCCGGTAGGACGGCGTAGTACTTGCAACTGAGCTGTCTTTGCGTTCAGAGGCCGCATACTAGGGAGAAGACAAAAAGCGTGTGCTTTACAGCGGGCGTTGTCAAAAATAAACACACAAAATCATTTTGTATGGCTTAGTGCTGAAAGCTCAAAATTCGCAAAATGCGTGTGTAAGCAAAATAGACGTCCGTTTACAAAATGGATAAAATATGTGTATATTGCAATTCGGAGAATCCAATCGTCCAACTTATGTGAGATTAAAAAAAAAACGATCAAAAGATTTTGTTTACATTTCAATGTATTTTGGTTTCGTGTATGTACGATTGTGAATCTTTTGGGGCTTACAACTTTCATACTTTAATAACGCAGACAATTCATTATGAAAATAACCGGTAATTGTCTATATTGATTGATAATAGAAGATATAACAGCCACCCTACCCAAGAGTGGTGAGAAATTGATTGGCCACGACCCCTCTCAAAACCAATATTTTCTCATAGTCTTGTAGTTACCCAATTTAAAAGGCTCACTTATATTATGTTAAAATAATATATTTTAAGATGATCGAGGTATGCCTATCACTTTCCGTTCCATTCCACCTCCGAAAGATGTTTATTTGTCAGCTTTTATCAGGTGCTATTACATTAGTATCATTGAGTGTTATGCGGTAGGCTATTTTAGGCTACAGTGGTTTCACTGATTTTATTTAAACACCTTGAAAATAAATCCATTTATATAGCCATTTTATATTTAAAGATAGAGAGACTAAATGTGAAAGGTGGATTCCTAGGTACGTCATTCGAAGACCCACGCCGTCAGACAATTCGCGATAGACTATATATTTCACAGTTTTTCGTAAAAGACAGATGAGAACTTTAAATAATTATTAGTGTCTGAAAACCACAAGCTTATTAACTTTCCTTGGTTGGATAACTGTAGACTACTTCTTAGTGTTGTCTTCCTTAACAATCATCTGTTATTAAATGGCGACATGGATTCCGTGTTTCTATTAAGTCGCCTTAACTTTTCCTAAAAGACCTCGACCGCTTCCTCTATGTTCAGGATAGTAGTATGGCTAATAATGTGCTTAATCCTTCAGTATAACATCGTAACGATCGGGTTCTTCTTGAACACCTTCGCAAGAAAATTTGCTGAGTCTGCTCAGGATATTGCCCAGCAGCACCGCTGCCGCAACACCGTGATCGGATAGTAAATCAAAGCAGTACTCCAGGTTGGCGTTGACTCTTTTTGATTCCACGAGCAGGCAGGGGTCCGTCGGCGTGCGTCCGTCAGGCGGGGGTCCATCGGTGATTAGGTTGGTTGCAATCCCCATGCCTCCCCATGCCCATATGTGCATGCGCAATATTAGAAACACTTATTTTACGAAGGATATGAAATTCGACCGCTTACTATGACAGTACACGCTGAGAAAGTCCAAAATAGTTTTAAAACTAATAACTAGAATTTTGGCTGGTAAATATTATTTATATATGTGTTATTAATAGTGTTTTACACATTTCATGCAAGTCTTACAAACATTTTTATATATATATATATATGGTCGATGACCTCTTTTGTACAAAAGTTGTTAATATTTTCCCTCAATTACAATATATTTTTCTGATTTCTAGTAATAGAGATGGTACGATAAGATATAATTTAAGTTAAGAACATACGTTTTTGGAAATATTACAAATATTAAAACAAACCTACTATATGAAAATGATGAACACAATCCAAACATACAATCCACCTTTAAATATTAAAGTTAATTGTCACACTGATTATTAAAAAAATCTCAAATGATTAAAAATTAAAAAAAAAACACATTATTTTTACGAATAACTATTGAAAAAAAATAATAATATTGTGTAGTGCCGATGGTAACTTCGAAGTGACCCTTGCAACAAAAGCTACAATTTACTCTGAAGGATTAGTTGAATGGAAACCGCCAGCTATATACAAGTCATCCTGTGAGATAGACGTAGAGTATTTCCCATTTGATGAACAGACATGTGTTCTAAAATTTGGCAGTTGGACTTATGATGGGTTCAAGGTAGGTTTGTTAAAAATCTCGCACGATCTATATAACTTTTTTATTTTCTATCACCAAAAATCATTTTTATTGTATAATTGTAATTTAAGTTTTTTAAAACATTATTTCAATCGTAAACCAAAAAATTAGTATTTATGGCATCACAATAAATAAGCACAAAAACCCTCAAATAACACGGTAAACAATTAATTGCGACCTGCACGGTTTCCTGCGCAAAGTGGATTGATGTTAATTGAATTAAGTTATTTAAAAATAATAATTGAATTAAGTTATTTAAAATTAAGCAAAAATCGTAAGAATAATTTCAGAAATATTATTTTTTATAAATTAATAAAGTAATCTGTAAAGTAACACACCTTTTTTTTGTAGAAAAGCTTTGTTTTATTAATTTTGTGTTTTGATATTAAAATAGCTGTGTTATTCCAGGGTGTATTGTATTACATTTACACTTTTACACAATATTTTAATTGATTAGCAACTGAATATTAATAATTTTACTTTGTGTGTACGAAGCCTATTGTACATATAATCTTTAAAATAAACATTTCAATAATTTAAATATTTGTTTCGATATTATACCCATTTTATTTAAAAACAATTTTCTGCATATCGTCCGCTTTCTATGATGAAATGTACAAAATTGAGAAAGATCCGATAGCTTCGGTGTTCCGAAGGCTTATTACCCTTGCAGATATGTCATTGCAATTGCCCTAGAGCATATAATAACGTACAAGTACAATCTGATTAAACCTCTAAATCCACAAATTGTGTTACCATTTTAATTTTTATGCTTACTCATCACTATTATTAAATATATATAAATATAAATAAACATACATATTAAATATCAAATAAATAAAAAAATCTTTTTTTAATTGTATCAATATAACTCTAAACGTTTTTCATTTATTTTTTTAACGTACTGTACTGATTATAATATGCAATATACACGTGAGAATTTTGCAGTCGAGTGTAGCCAATTGCGGAATACTCTGTCCCCTCTATTTAAAAAACTGTCATTAATGAACATTTTAAATTTGGTGACTATAGCTTTAAGACTGTGTGAGTATAGGTATTTTTTTGTGAAGGTGTGAGTGTGTGTCAATTGAATATGAGGTTCGCGGTAATATAGTATAGTAATAAAACCTTAAAGATTTGATGATTGATCGAAATCTTTGGAAAATATAAGAATTTCAGATTTTTGGGCGGATTGACTTGGAGCGGGGAGTGTGGGTGTTAGAGTTTAAATTTGTATGACCAAGTTATAATGTTTGCCAAGAGTCAAACTGATGATTAGCAATTACTATTTCGTGCCGAAAATCTTCCAAAAAATATATTTTCTAATATTTTGTTAAGCAATCTAATCGGACGAAATTACAAGACAAGTTGCTCGAGTTATCACGGGTTTGTAGTGCTGAATAAGAACAATGTAGAAATCAGCAGCAGCATCTCACCCTAGAAGTTCTGCCGTCGACGACATCATAGTCATTTCGCATTTAGATTCACGTACGACGCTGGGTGTTGCAAGCTTTAAAGCTGTGAACCAGTTTGCAGCTTTATCGAAACTCTCCTGAGGAGCTGTCGCTGCTTTTCTCGGATTGAGCGCATTGCCGAGCATGAAATATTGGCTTAATCCTCAGCTTTCACAGTTCGGCTGCAGCCTGTGCGATCTTCATATGCCAAGAATAACTGCACTTCGTTGTCGATATTAGTTATTGGACTCAGCTTCATGGTGCTCCAACCTCTGCCGGAATTGAAGAATTTTTTACTTGCTTGGCTGGAGTATTTTTGTTGGCAGCTCCTCGGGACACAACTATCAGCAGGATGCGATATTAGCAATAAGCATATATACAATAAAGCAGAGCGGTGTACGCAGCAAAGTTATTTATTGTCGGCAGACACTTGCAAGTAATACGTTGTGTTACCCATAGCAGAAGTATGTTTCGCAGACAAACATCGCATCAATTTTATAACGTTGGTTGATCAACTCGATCTTGGTGGCGTTGTTTGCCAGAATTTTGTAATTTTTTCATTCGCCATTTTGGCATTATATGTTGCTTTAGACAAACCTGTGGGATATTTGTGTAGTTGTCACTAAACTGTTACTCTCCATTGCATTGGAGACAGAAGGGCTGGAGCACACTCGCTTCTTAAGTGTGGCCAGCTCACTTTATCGCAGTATGTTTTTTTTGGCAACATCTTCCTTGCCGATTGATATCATCTGGAATTATTGTGCTACCAGAGTATTCCGCAGTGGGTTACGTCTGACTGCAACGTTCTTACTTGTTTTATTTATAGCAAAGTGCAGGTTGCAGCGCTTTTGGCAGGTCTGCCTAGCCAAAGGAGAGGAGCACACAGAGGTAGTAACTATGTATAATCAGTAATTGCATGGGTCTCGTTGTTTACTTCACTCATTTCGGTACGGAAGCGAACACACTGTAATAGACCGCTGACAGCGAGCAACCTTCATTGAGAGCACTCTGTGCTAAGACAACCAAACCACTTTAAATGCTCGGAAGGTATTGAGCAACATATTTTGGGGAGATCACGCAACACGTACACATGAGCTATAAATGTTCAGCCGGACGTTGAAGGAAACGTGGATAGGATGGGTCAAAACAACAGAAGCTCGATCTCGATCCACGCGTTGATTTTACAGAGCAAAAAGAAAAGTCAAAGGTGATTGAGATTGTGAGATTATTGCTTTTTAGCACAGCAAATAGCCTGCAATGCAAATTTCAGTTTACCCACAGATTTGTAATATCGACAGTTATCATACTGTTCTTTTGCTAAGTTTCCAAAAGATTAGGCAATAAATAAAGCACTTAGCGCAATACGCAGCCGAAATAGCCGGTTAATTAAAAAATAAAAAGGATTGTCGTGTACATTTTTGTTTCTTTCCACAAGCAGTCAATTTCTTTAAAACCAAGAAACCTATGTCAGAGAAAGTTTTCCCTAATTCTAAAGGCATCTTTAAAAGCTAATAAAAACACACAAATTTTGAATAATTTTATAAGCGGAGCCATTACTTCAACTCTTAAATTATATTTATTTTATAAATAAAAAGTGATCTTTTTGAAGATACATGTTTTCAATTATTTTTTAAAATTAATTTATGAGAAAAAAACGTGCTGTGTGTCTGCTATGTTGCAAAGTCTACTTTTTTTATTGGGGCTAGAAAAATTTTGAAGTCTCATGAATTTTATTCTAATAATTTGCTACTAAAAAAATCAATCTATCCTTAAAATGTATTTATATATTTAATTATTTATTTTTACTCGATGTGTACCCAACGCAGATAAGTTCAAAAAGGTTGGTTATCAATCAAAAACATATTTTATTAATTCATAAGAAATGAGAGATCTTTAATAATGAAAAAATAAAAATAAGTAATTTAAACGGTGAACATTTTCGAAAACTTGCAAAATTGATGTGCTGACATCGAATGTTTTTTACTGTTATTTATCTCATCGCTAAACGATTACCTGGTATGAGAATCGGTACATAAATGAAATTTCTCCTAAGCATACACAATTTTAATCTCATATTTTTGAAGTAATCAATTTTTCATATATGCACTCTATCTGCGGACGAAAAACGATAGTATCGTTATAATGGAAAAACAATCGATAGCGAAAAAATATATTTAAACTAAATTATTTAACTTAACATTTAACATTTGCTGTCAAATTTGCTTTGTTTGTTCAGTTTGAAAGTAGCGTGCTTGTAGGATTTCATATTTTTTAGCAATTTGTAATCAAAAGCTTGTGTAGTATCGAAAAAGATCGGTCTGCAATTAATGCGGTTGACATACTTAAATTTTATCTTAAAACCTGTGCACTCGAAAAGTACCAGTTATTATAGACACCTTCAAATATATGTGTTTATTTTGTATTAGCATCCTTCCCTTTTGTGAAGAAACTTCAGATTTTCAATGTAACTTGATTAAAGCTCGAAACAAATTCCCAAAAATCGAATAATCTGATTATGTTCATTGATTAGATTTTCAGAATATTTCTTTCAGATTTGTAGGGAATATACCATAATATTATTTAATTGCAGAATTGTTACAAATTTCGGTCAATCGTTTATTTATATATGTCGCTCAGCATCGAGTAATAATTTTCTGCGATAAGTTATGTAATGTGCAGCGTAATTGTCTACAACTTGGTCGTCTTTCAAAGAAAGGTTGTCAGTAATTACCCATTCAAATTTGGTTATAGAAATTTAGCATGAGTCATAAAATTTGCATGCATGATTCTAGTCAATTTGCAGTCTGCTGATCTGCAGGTTTCCCAGTTGTTGTTGCTCGGTTTAAGCAATCTGGACAGAAGTCGGTAGCAAGCTCAAAAAATTTATTGCATAGGTATTGCTGTGTATTACGGGTCCGTATATATGTATGTAGCTGGAAGTGAAAATCGATAGAAGATATATATGTTATACAGTATTGAAGCTAATCGTAGGAAAAACATACCAAACCCTGATCAATTTTCCGCCTTTCACTGGGAAGTAGCTTACTTGTGACAGTGTGATGAAAATTGATCGAAGAAAAAACATTTTCCACATATTTAGAACTTATGGAACTTAAATTACACCAACCCCACCGTTGCAAAATGGGGTTTTCGACCTGCTTTCAAAGACGCTGCCTTTTACCTCCGACAGCCAAATTCGCACTTGTTATAATAATGATAATAATTATTAACGTATCTGTATATTTCGAAAACGACATCTGGCACTAGACAATGAAATAATGGCTTGAAATAGCATGAGAGGCTCACTTATCGTCCGGCATATGAAAAACGCATTTATAATTTGAATTGTCGGTTGTCACTTCGACTAGGGCATGTTCCGTATAGGTCAATAAATCAGAATATCTTGGATTTCCTCAAAACATTTTTGCATATGTTTTTAAGCTGACGCTTTGAGAACCAAAACGCATATTTTTTCGAACACTTTCTCCAAGAAAAATAAGGTTATGCATACATTTTTAATTCGCTTTT